AGCACGTCCAGCCGGGACCCGCACTGCCACGGGCAGGCAGGGCACCGCACATGGCTCCCGCGGGTGCATGCAGGTGCTGAAACGGCCAAGGTGCACACCCAGCCCTCTGCCTTCTCTGTGCCCTGCGGCACCCATCTGCAGGGACATCTACCGCCCGCTGCCCCCGTGTCGCCGGCCACCGATGTCCACTGACCCCAGCCCCTCCTGTCGCCCCGTCCCGCGCCGGGCGAGGTGTCTGGGAGGGGCTGTGACCTGCGCCGGGAGGGTGAGCAGTGGGGTGAGGCAGGTAGGGGGGACTGGGCGTTCCACCGCCCAGTGAGGGGGGAGGCGCTAGTTCCATGGGGCTACGTGGGGATCTTGGGAATGGCAACATTGGGGTGTCCGCAGCCATGCAGTACATGTTGGGGGTGGGATGGGACGGACCCTCTGGGGAGCCCAGCGCTGGGTGCCCCCGTGCCATGGGTGCTGGGGGGCCCTATGGGGCTGGGGTGGGGTGGGGTGGACCCATGGGTAGGGCTGGACGCCGGGAGGTGGATGCTGCGCGTGGCACTCACAGCCCTGGCTACACCCGTGCCAGCCCACCAGCTGCACAGCCCCCCATCCCCACGTGGCACTGCCTCTGTGTGTGCTCCCCCCGCAGCCCTATCTCGCTGCCAGCTCGGCTCTAATTTCCTGTCCATTGTCCCCGCTGCCAGCCCCGCCTGCCGTGTGGGGCCGAGTCCTGCGCCCAACCCTCGCTCACTCCAACGGCTCCTTTCCACAGCCATGTCTGTGCCTCCTGCCCCCGGGCGCCCTCCCCCACACCCTGCTGCTGCTACGCACCCCCTCTGCCCCCTGCCTGCCACATGCCAGCCCCCGGCGCCCTCCCCCACACCCTGCTGCTGCTACGCACCCCCTCTGCCCCCTGCCTGCCACATGCCAGCCCCCGGCGCCCTCCCCCACACCCTGCTGCTGCTACGCACCCCCTCTGCCCCCTGCCTGCCACATGCCAGCCCCCGGCGCCCTCCCCCACACCCTGCTGCTGCTGCTCACCCCCCCTCCCCGCCACCGGGGCCAGCCCCCGGCGCCCTCCCCCACACCCTGCTGCTGCTCCCCCCTCTCCCCCTCCTCCACATGCCAGCCCCCGCCCCCTCCCCCACACCCTGCTGCTGCTACGCACCCCTCTGCCCCCTGCCTGCCACATGCCAGCCCCCGGCGCCCTCCCCAGACCCTGCTGCTGCTACGCACCCCCTCTGCCCCCTGCCTGCCACATGCCAGCCCCCGGGCGCCCTCCCCCACACCCTGCTGCTGCTACGCACCCCCTCTGCCCCCTGCCTGCCACATGCCAGCCCCCGGCGCCCTCCCCCACACCCTGCTGCTGCTACGCACCCCCTCTGCCCCCTGCCTGCCACATGCCAGCCCCCGGGCGCCCTCCCCGAGACCCTGCTGCTGCTACGCACGCCCCTCTGCCCCCTGCCTGCCACATGCCAGCCCCCGGGCGCCCTCCCCCCACACCCTGCTGCTGCTACGCACCCCCTCTGCCCCCTGCCTGCCACATGCCAGCCCCCGGGCGCCCTCCCCCACACCCTGCTGCTGCTACGCACCCCCTCTGCCCCCTGCCTGCCACATGCCAGCCCCCGGGCGCCCTCCCCCAGACCCTGCTGCTGCTGCTCACCCCCCCTCCCCACCTGCCTGCCACATGCCAGCCCCCGGGCGCCCTCCCCCAGACCCTGCTGCTGCTACGCACGCCCCTCTGCCCCCTGCCTGCCACATGCCAGCCCCCGGGCACCCTCCCCCAGACCCTGCTGCTGCTACGCACCCGCTCTGCCCCCTGCCTGCCACATGCCAGCCCCCGGGTGCCCTCCCCCACACCCTGCTGCTCCTGCTCACCCCCCTCCCCACCCGCCTGCCACATGCCAGCCCTCGTGCGCCCTCCCCCACACCCTGCTGCTCCTGCTCACCCCCTTCCCCACCCGCCTGCCACATGCCAGCCCCCGGGCACTCTCCCCCACACCCTGCTGCTGCTGCTCACCCCCCCTCCCCACCTGCCTGCCACATGCCAGCCCCCGGCGCCCTCCCCCAGACCCTGCTGCTGCTGCTCACCCCCCCTCCCCACCTGCCTGCCACATGCCAGCCCCCGGGCACCCTCCTCCACACCCTGCTGCTGCTACGCACCCCCCTCTGCCCCCTGCCTGCCACATGCCAGCCCCCGGGCGCCCTTCCCCACACCCTGCTGCTGCTACGCACCCCCTCTTCCCCCTGCCTGCCACATGCCAGCCCCCAGGTGCCCTCCCCCACACCCTGCTGCTCCTGCTCACCCCCTTCCCCACCCGCCTGCCACATGCCAGCCCCCGGGCACCCTCCCCCACACCCTGCTGCTGCTGTTCACCCCCCCTCCCCACCTGCCTGCCACTGGGGCCAGCCCCCGGACATCCTCCCCCAGACCGTGCTGCTGCTCAGCCCCTCCCCACCCATGTGCTAAGGTGGGCTGGGGGAAGGGTGGATGCTGGGGGGGGGGGGGAGTGTGCAGGGTGGGGGAAGGGCGCCCGGGGGCTGGCATGGGTGCTGGGTTGGAGTGTGAAGGGGGAGGGGCTGGGTGCTGGGGTGCTAGGATAGGTCACTGGAGTTAAGGGGGTTCCTGTTCCTTCTATCCCATGGAATGTGACTCTGGCCAGTCTCACTCAGCGAAATGTCCCATCTCGTTTTGGCTCCTGCTCAGGTTGTGGCCTCTGTGGCTTCCAGTGGCTGTGAGTTCCCCAGGCTAATTGTAGCTTGGGTTAAGAGCACCTCCTTTGATCAGCTGGAGTGTGCTTTCCTCACCTGCCCCCAGGGTCCCCTTGTCCCTGTGCTAGGGGCAGGGTGGGGGAGAAGCTGTCAGTGCCATCCCTGTGCTAGGCAGCTTGTGCCCTGCTGTCCTGTCCCCCCATGGCCGCCCACTTCCTGCACCAGCCGCTCCCACTGTTCCACCCCCAGTGCACGCCTCGGAGCCCCCCTTTCTGAAACAGGGTGGCCAGAAGGGAAGGTCCAAGGGCAGGGGCAGAAGAAGGGCTACCCTGTGCTTAGAAGCCTGGCCTGGGGCTCTACCCGCCCTCCTCGGCCCCAAACTTCCTAGGTGGCCCTGGATGAGTCCCTCAGTCTCTCGGAGTCTCCCCACCTGTGCCCGGCCACTGGGGGGTGAGGGGCACACAGGTACGGGGGGAACAGACAGACCAGCGCCTCGGATGGATAAAACCACCTGCAACATCCCGGGGCTGAAACAACCCAGTGGCCCAGCCCCTGTGTGCCCCAGCAGGAGAGGGCTGGAGGGAGGGCAGAGGCTCTCCGATCGGCCCGTCCGGGGCAAAGACGGGTGTGAGGCACGGGCGGGCGCCAGGCGTGAGCCGGTGATGGACAGCGCAGCGGTGATGGGACGTGGATACGCTCCGATGCTCACACAGGAGGATGGTGCATGTTGCATCCCCAGTGGCGTAATGAGCCTGCTTGAAGGCCCCAGGGAGCCGGCGGGCCCGGCCCCATTGGCAGTCTCAGCATGCTCGGCCTGGCTGCCTGCCTGCTTGTTTTGGTACCTGGCTGTCGTGGGGGGCAGGGGAGCGGGCGCTATGCACTGTGCTGATAACACCAAGCTGGTCACTGAGGCTGAGAGACATCCAGCTCCGCGGGGACTGGGGGAGTTGGCAGGGGCGCTGGCTGAGGGACCGGTTGCAGTGTCGAGGCCTGAAGCAGCTGGATGGGCTCCTGGGCCCCCGCTCTGCCCCGAGGGGCACAGAGCAGGGGGTGTGGCGCCCGGAGCGGGTGTGTGGCTGGGGCAGGCCCTCTTCCTGGGCCCCGAACACCTGTGCACCCGGGGCACGGCGTGCTGGGCCGAGTGCTCGGGCGCAGGGCGGCAGCAGGGGCCGGGCACGGGGACAATTGCTACGGCAGACCGGGTGCTTCCGACTTTGGACTGGGACTAAGGTGATCCAGGTTCAGTTCCTGGCTCTGACGCCAACTCCCTGCTACCCTCGGGCAGCTCCTGGCTTCTCTCTGAGCCCCAGCACCCCGTACAGTGTGGGGGGGACAGTCCTGCCTCCTCCCTCTGGGTAGGAAAGATTGCGCCGCAGGAGTCCGGGCAGCACCGGGCACAGCGGGCAGTGCTGCTATCGGCCGCGGGCAGCGAAGGGTGCAGGTCCCGCACGTGTGGCCTTGTTTCTGTTTGTGGGGGATGGAGATGGCAGCCCAGCGACTGGCCGGCTCCCGGCTGCCAGGCCAGTGGGACTGCCATGGTATCAGCTCCTCACCCATCACCAAACCCATCTCCAAGCCACCTGGGCCAGCGAGACCCGAGGGCCCGACCGGCGGCTGGGCCAAGGCTCTGCACGGGGCCTGCCTCGGGGACCGTGGGGCCCAGCCCCTGGCGGGATCCCACCAGCAGCATCTTCCACCCCCCCGGCCAGGACTGAGCCTCGGGCTGCAGGCTCAGACACGGGTGGGAACCTCCCTGTGCTCTGGCTTCCCATGGCAGGAGACTCCCCCGCAGACCCCCGCCCCGGCCCCTCCCCAACCAGCGAGTAACCCCCACTCCTCGTCCCCACCCCCTGGGGCTCCCCCCACCAGGCTGGGCCTCTCCCGCCCCGAGCCCCTGGCTCCAGGCAGGGAGGGCCCAGGACTGCTCCCCAGGGCGCTCGCCTGGCAGCCCCACACCTCGGGCAGCAAGGGAAGGGAAGGCAAAGGGCCAGCGCTGGGTGCGGGGGGCACCTGGGGGTCCAGGGGCCGGGAGCTGCCGGGCCACGTGCTACCGTCCTGCGAGCGCCGCGCAGCGCCGAGCCCCGGGGTGCAGGACCCGCCCGGGCAGCTCCGGGCTCCCACCGCCCCTCCGCGCCCGGGCCCCGAGAGCTCCTGCCACGCCGGGTAGTAAATCAGCGCCGCCGGCCCCGCCTCCCAGCTCCCCATTGGCCGCCGCCGGCGCAGCTCCCGAGCCCATTGGCCGCCGGGCCGTGGCCGGCTCCCTATAAGTGGTCCGCGGGGCTGGCCGGGCTGCAGCCGCGGGAGCCGGGCCGGCAGCGGGGAGCAGCGTGCGGGCTGCGCCGGGCCCCGTGAGTAGCCGTGGGCGGGCGGGTCAGGTTCCCCGAGGCTGGGCAGGAGGCGACGGGGATGGGCGCAGGTGGGGGGCTTGGTAGCCCCTGGGGCAAAGTTCTCTTCTGCCTCCCCGAAGGGCTGCCCTGGGGTGGGGGCAGTGGCTGGGGTGAGGGATATTGGGGAAGGAGGCGGTATGGCTCTGGGGCCCAGGGAAGGGGGTGGGTGACAGGCATGGGGAGGGATGCTAGGGAGTGGTTATGGATGGGAGGGCATGGGGCGGGGGGGTGATGGCCCTTGGAGGGGTTGGGGGCTCTCTAGCCGCAGAGTCCCCTGGCACAGCGGGCGGCTGGCGGGCAGCCTGCAGGTGGAAGTGGCCGCTCTCCTCCGAGGAGCCCACGTCCCGTCGGGCTGGCGCTCGGATGCTAAGGTGACTGCCCAGCGCCACACTGCATTAGCAGCTGGCTGAGCCCCAGGGCTCCAAAGCCGAGGGGGCTGAGTGGCCCCAGACTGGCTGGGGGAGCCGGCTGTCCAGGTTCTGCCGGTTACAGCCCCTCAGAGCTGCCCAGTGCAGCGATGGGACCGTGCCGGCTGGGTCAGTGGGGGGCTGGAGCAGGGTGTAGTATGGGGGGGCTGAGAGCCACTGAACCAGACCATAGCCCCTGGATACGATGGAGACCACGCCAAGCCAGGGCATTTGGCAGCACCCCTAGCTCCAGCGCCTCTGGGGGTCCGAACACCCTGGGGCTGTCGGCGCTTGGCGGATTCCTCCAGCCGGGGTCCAGCGTGACCAGCTGCTTGCAGCCCTGGGCTGGATCTGCAGGCTCCGGGCTGGGACCTGGGTTCACTGTGGCACCACCTGGTACCTGGCACTTTGCTGGGCTCTGGTTCCAAGCGGTGCCTGGACGTGACCAGCAGGAGAGCTTTGGGTGGGATGAGCCCCCTGGGCTGCCAGCGGGGGGGCTGTAACCCCCCTGGGGTGCTGGGAGGTCATGGCATGTGGCTGCGTGGCGCTCTGTGATGCCGTTCACTGGGGCGAGGCGGTGGCTGGGGAGTTGTGACCTCACCAGGATGCTGCGAGGGGTGCTGGACTGTCCCCATGGCTGGGAAGTGACCTGGCCCAGCCCACCTGGGGTGGGGTCCCTGCACACTGAGAAGGTGGGGCTGGGGTGGCCTGGGCTGTGCTTCCCCCTGCCCGGGCACCTGGAATGCTCAAGGATCCAGCCTGCAGGCGCAGCTTCTGGAGGGGGTGGGAGAGGTTGGGGCTACCTGGGGGGCTGTGGGACCTGCTCCGCCCACAGGAGAGAGCCGTGAGTCAGTCACCTGGTGCCAGGAGCTTGAGAGGGAGAGAAGGGAACCAGGCATGGTGGAGTGATCCATCCCATCTTCCAGCCCCAGCTTCTGGCAGAGGTGACCCCAGCTCAGTGCTAGGTGCCCTGTCTGCTCTGAGCCTTGGGGGGCTGGGATGTTGCCACTTGCTCCCCCTTGGCGTCCCCCAGGGAGGTCTCAAAGAGCAGTCTCTGCCTCCCCCATTCCCACAGGATTGGGCCCCATGGGCCGGGCCAGGCCAGCACAGCACTCTTTACTGGGCTGCTCCCTGCCCTGGAGGCGGTGCTTACTCCAGCACCCCCTACTCCCTGTGCCCCTCTTCTCTCTGGCCTCGCCCCATGGCTGCCCCTGGGCTTAGAGCCAGGCCAAGAACTCTCTGAGGCTCACCTCTGCCTCCTGCCTGAGGGTGAAGCCTCATGCCCTTCCCGGCCCTGAAGGCTGCCCAGGAGCTCTGAGCCCCACATCTGGCCCTTGGGTCTGCCCCTTGTGCTTTGTTCCCTGCCCTGGAAGTGTGATGGGGGGGAGACTAGGCAGAGGTGGGAGCCTGGGGGTATTGTCCCCAGCAAAGGGAACCCCATTGCAGCTGGGCTGGGTTACTGGGGAGGGGTCAGGGTGACTGTTTTGGCCTGGGTCCCAGGCTGCCCAGCCCCTCCCTCCCCTCCCTTGTTTTCTGGCTCTGGGTTTATCCCATGCAGGAGTGAGGTCCCCCTGTCTGGGCCCAAGGGCTGGCTGCAGCTCTGGGCCTAGCCGTGGCATGATGCCGCTCGCTGCTGGGCTGACTCCCTGGGGGTCAGGGCAGGGGCAGCCACCCAGGGGTCTGCTGGCATTGGGCCATGGGGCTGTTTTCAGTTGCTTGCTTGGCCCCCAGCCCTGCCAGGTCCCACCTGGGGTTGGGGTGGATGGGCAGACTGCTGAGCGAGACGGTGCCGCATGGGGCGGCCGTCCCTGTCCTTACGGGCTGTGACCTTGCTGCTGGGCCGCGCAGAGCTGTGCTGCGGGACACAGCCCCCGCCCCTGCTGCAGGTTGCCCCCGGCCCCACCCCGTGCCTGCGGGATCATCTCTGATGGCACCTGGGCCCCATCCTGCCCGTGTCTCCTGCAGCAGGTGCCCCAGGGTAGGGCCCATGGGGCTGAGCAGTCAGTGGGAGCTGCAGGCCCTCGGGGGTTGCAGCCCTTTGAGAGGCTGCCGGGAGACGTGTTTTTTTGAGGCAAGCCTGGCCATGGGTCTGTGCGGCATGGGGCCCGGGCAGAGCCAGGCTGCAGCCTGCAGGTGCTGGGCACAGCACCCTCCAGCTCCACACAGCCAAACCTGGCTGCCCTTGGGAGCCATGGGACACGTGCTTGGCTTCTCCCAGCCCAGGGTCCTGCGCAGCCCCCAGCAGGGAGCTGGCTCCAGGCCACACCGCCCCCCTGGGTGTCGCTAAGGAGCGGATCCCTGGGGAGGCCTGTTGTTGCCAATCAGGGACATTGTTCCCTCCTGGAAAGACTCCATCAGCCCTGGAGGATTTTGCCTGCAGCTGGGCGGGGGGGGCAAGCTGGAGAGAGCAAGAGCTTCAGGGAGCGAGGGACTGCCCAGAGTGTGGGGGTGCCAGCACCCCCTGCCCAGGGGCACCCACAAGGGCCAGGCTCTGTCCTGCCACCTGCCCATGCAGACTCTGCCTCCTGCATGAGCCTCTTCCCCAGGGCAGAGCTGGGCTGGGGCTGGGCTGGGGGTGGATGGTGTGGGAGGGGCTGGTATAGAGGTGGAGGTGTGTGCAGTGTGACAGGTTTTGCTAATTAATGGGCTTTTCCCTCCCAATCTTGCCAAGGAGCCCTCTGATGTATTAGTTTAATTAGCCAAATCCGAAGGGCTGGGTGTGCAATGAGCTGGCCCCGCGCTCGGTGCCGATCACATCCTCCTTTCTCAGGTAATGACAAGCTAGTCTCAGGCCGAGTCCTGAGCCTGCCAGCGGCTGGTCAGGTTGAGCCCAGGGGATCCAGCTGCCTGCCTGTCTCTGTTGTGATGCACACCTAGTCCTGTTAATGGCCCCAACAGCACGGGCGGCTGTTGGCTGGTCTCGGGGGGCGCCATGAACCTCCACCGAATGCCCTTATTGCACAGGGTGATCCAGCCGCTCCCATCTCTCCCCACGACCTCGCAAGGGAGGGGCTTTTCTAGCCCCGAGGTCCATAGTGTTGGGCATCTCACAACAGTACTCTGTTTACCCTCGCCCCGGCCACGAGGCCGGGCAGCCCACGGCCAGAGCGACAGACTGGCCAAGGCCACACAGGGTCTGCTGCAGAGCCAGGAATCGACCCCCAGGGTTGCAGGCCACGGCCTGAATCACTCGGCGATCCCAGCCCTCGTCTCCTGGGGGGGTGTCCTTCCGGCCTCTCAGGCCGGCCGAGCACGGCCTCTGTTACTGCCCCACAGTAGGTATCTGGCCTGAGTTCAACTGGGGCACCTGTGGGGCTGCCCGTCCCTGGACTAAGAGCCAGGCCCTCTGGTGATGGCCTCGCTGGCCCTGAGGGAATTGGAGCTGGTGGCAAAGGGCCAAGGGGCACACAGCTCTGCTCAGTGTCCCTCTGGCTCGGAGCCAAGAGGCCGCGTTATGCCCCCAGAGGAGCTGCTGCGCCACGGGAATGGCTCGGTGTGACGTTCCCCGATGTTATCTGGACCAGTGATCTGCTGGGTCACTCCAATCCGTGACTCTGGGAGCCAGCCTGACCCTGCTCTGCTGTGAGAACCCCCACGCCTGGGCTGGTCACTCACAGCCTCTGGCATGTCAGCTGCTCCTTGGATTGTGCAACCGAATGACACTAGCCAATACCTCCGGTCCCAGACACAACCCCAGGAACCTCCATCTTGCAGAGTCCAGTTATGCCCGCTGGATGCTGCAAGCTTATGAATTTGTCGATTTCTTTGTTAAATTGACATATACCAGGTTTGTTATCCCAAGCGGAGTCTCTGACACGCTGCAAACCAAACGCTGCTTCAGATAGAAGAAACCAACAGATTTATTAAGTGATTGACCAAGTCTGACTTGTATTTTGGCTTATAAACAAAATAAAAGCAAAACTCATTCTAAGCTGATCTTAACACTTTCAGTGCCCTTACAAACTTAGATGCTTCTCACCACAGGCTGGCTGGTTGCCCTTCAGCCAGGCTCTCCCCTTTGATCAGTGCTTCAGTCACTTGGTGGTGGTGTCTGTGGATATAGATGGAAGAGAGAGGAAGAGCATGGCAAACGTCTCTCCCTTTTATCATGTTCGTTCTTCTCTCTTGGCTTTGCCCCCTCCCCTTCAGAGTCAGGTGAGCATTACCTCATCGTAGTCCCCAACTGGCCATGGGAAGGGGGGTGACTCACTCGAGAGTCCAACAGATCCTTTTGTTGCCACCTAGGCCAGCGTCCTTTGTTCCCGTGGGGCTGGGCAGGGTTTGTTCCATACCTGCCGTGTTGAGGTGTGAACTGCCTCTATGCTCTTGGAGAGTTTTTGCCTGGGCTTGTTTTAAGCCGTGAGGACACACTTTCAGCCTCATAACTATGTATGTGTAACTATATAACCTATAATACTGCTCAGGGCATCATGAGCCTTCCGAAGACACCTGATGTGACAAACTTTGCACTGGATACCACACAATCTTATAAGGACAAACATGGGGGTGTAGAGTGTTCCCATGTGGTACAAAGTGTCACACTCGGCCTGGCCTGTTACTGGGAGCACCGTGCTGCCTGGCTGGGACTGCCCAGCTCCTTCTCAGGGGCTCTGGCTTCCCCCTCTAGGAATTGCCTGGGGAATTTTCTACTACAGACCCCACCCTGGCCGCAATGATCCAGCGGCTGTCCGGGAATCATTGTGCCCATGCCCTGGGAACTCACTAAGTGAGGGCAGCTCTGCCCTGTCTGTGCAGCGCCTGGCACCTCAGCCCAGTCCCAGCTGGGGCCTCGACCCTACCGTCATACACGTCCCGTTTGGCTCCAAGCCATGCTGTCCACAAATCTCTCTCGTGCTGAGATTGGGCCAGGTTCTGGAGTCTGCCAGCCGCGGGTGAGTGGGAGCTGCCAGCCAGCCCTCCTGAGCGTGCCAGCCGCTGAGAGCTGGCGCTGCTGCAAGACAAAGTCCTTTGACTTCAGGGATGTGCCCTGGGTGTGAAGCTCAGCTGGTCCTGGCTGAGTGGAGGGGGAGAGCCAGCAGCTGGGCTGATGGTGGTGCCGCGTGAGGGGCTGCTGGCATCCCCATCCGTGAGTGCTGAGCAGGTGGCTGAGCTGCCCTAGGTGTCTCAGGGCCAGGGCTGCTGGGGGTTGAGGGCAGCTCTCACCGGTGCTCCAGCCTGGCAGTTGACCCCTCCTAGGGGCATCCCCACTCGGCACTTCCTCCCTGCCCTGGGGAGGGTGTTAGCGCCATGCTGGCTGCTGCGGGCCGGGGCTCACAGCAGCGAGGGTCCGGGTGGCTGTGGGTTCATCTCAGGGACTCCCAAGGCCCTGGAGCACCTGGAGATGGGACTGGCGCTCCATCTCCTCCCTGCTGCCTCTCCTGGGGTGCGGCAGAGCCAGTTCCCCTGGGAAGAGCTGTGGTAAGCGGTGAAGAGGGGGGGTCCTGGGGGGGGGGGGGGGACACCACCAGAGTGAAGCTGGAGTGAGGGGCCAGGAACTCTGTGCCTTCGTGGGGAAGGCCTGGGGCCCCCAGCAGGAAAGGCTGGGAGTACAGGCAGGAGGCAGGTGTAAAAGCTTTTTTGGGAATGATTTTGTTGTTGGAATAAATCCAGCCCAGCAAGGGGTACTGCCGACCTGGAGGAGAGCTGTTTGAGAGAGCCAGAAACATGGGGAAACTGAGGCAGGGCACTGCAGCACCACACTAGGCCCCAAGGGGGTGCTCAGGAGGCAGCCAACTCTGCCACAAGCCCTGAATCACAACACCTGGGCGCTTGAATCCATGGAGTCTGGGAATGGACCCCTCCTTGTTCTGCCATTCACATGCCCCTTCCAGCCAGGCAGCTCCTATGGCCATCTGGGCCTTCCTGGGGACCGGCTGGCGTCCGCAGCCCTGAACACCCTCCCAGTGTTGCCCAAGAGGCTCTGCTGCAGCCAGCCTATCCCCAGGAAATCCCCTGCGCCCGCTGCCAAGGGGTGTCCGCGCCCGGCTGGCTGAGCTGGGAGTGGCTGAGCCAATGTTGCCAAGGCTCCTGTTCTCCCCGGCTCCTCTCCGGCTCTTGCCGGAACACAGGTAGACCAGACCTGGCGGAGGGCCTCCCGCTGTGCAGAAAGGGGCTGCTGCCCTCGGGGACAGTGGCTGGCTCTTGCCCCGTCAGGGGTTCACAGCCGTCAGCATTTCACTGATGGGTGGCCTGGGGGATGTGCTCATGAGCCATGGAGATGTCTCATTGTTTACACTCTGCAGGTCTTGTGGCAGAGACTTCCACCTGCTAACGGTGCGGAATCGGTTCCTTCCAACGTCCTTGACCGTCCCCTTGTTCCAGCCAGTCACCCTTTGCCCGCACTGGGCTGTGTCCCCACCCCCGCTGAGCAGATTGCTACTCCCCTCCCCACCCACCGGGCCAGCTCTCCAAGGCTGGACTCAGCCTGTGCCCAGCTGAGCCCTTCTCTTCCTGCTCTCCCTCGTGAGACGGGTCTGGGACACGCAGGCCAGAGCACGTCTTCCTTACAGAGCATCACGGGGCTTCTGTTAGCATTGCCTGCCTTGCTCTGGGTCTGCTCCTGCCCCACGGCCCTGTCCGGGCACAGCTGGGCACAGTGCGAGGGCTCTGTGGAGCTGCCCCACGGGCACCAGTGCCCTCCGCTGGGCGAGAGCTAATGCAAAGCCTGGGCAGGCGGGAGCTTTTCCCGGGCAAGTTGCCGTTGCATGGCCTGGCTCCCAGCGGTGCTGGGTCTGGGACGCTCCTCTTCTGTCTGACCTGGCTCACGTTGTCCTCGCTCAGCCCGGCCTGCTAGACAGCGTGGGCCCCTGGCCAGCCTTGCAGCCCTGCCGTTTGCCTTCGGCCACAAGAACAGCCCCACTCCGGCCCAGGGGGAGCTGCAGGGGGGGACGGGTCCCAGGCCCAGCCACGCTGGCGCCTGCTGGCCAGGTCTGTGGGTGCGGGAGCCTGGGAAGCTGCCCAATCTATGGGCTGGGGGCTCTCAGGTCATGGTAGTCTCAGCCGTGTCCCCGGGGCTGTGAGGCCAGGGCCTGGGGAGCTCGTGCTGCGGTCGCTGCGCTGGGCTGGGCATGCCCGTCTCCCGGCCCAACCTCGCTGTCTGGTTGCCCTGCGCAGCCTGTGGCCGTGCTCCCCCAGCGGCCTCGCCTGGTCCCCGGGGCCTGGTCCGCACGAGAAAACGGCCACCCCCAGCCCAGTGCAGCCACCTGGGCGCCACATGGCGCAGGCCTCCCCAGAGCCAGCTGCACCCTCGGCGCAAGTGGCTCATCTGCCTGCCCTGGGCCAGCCGGGCACAGGGCCAGTCCCTGCCTGGGGGCACAGGCCAGCGTGGACAGGCAGCCGGGGTGTAGCCCAGCCCTGGGTGCTGGCTGTAGCGCTGACCTCCCCGCCTGGGGGCCTTTGAGGGGCTGAACTCTGGGGCAGCTGGGCCTGGGGGCAGGGTGTGGGCAGTGATGCGATGGCAGCTGAGGGGCAAGGGGTGGGTGTGGAGGCTCAAACAGCAGCGTGCTCTGGCTGGTGTCTGGGGGGGCGGGTCCTGGGGAAGCCACAGGGTCCTGCCCCCCAACTCCGCAGTCAGACGTGACTCTCAGCCAGCCAGTAAAACAGGTTTATTAGACGACAGGAACATGGTCTAACACAGAGCTTGTAGGTGCAGAGAACAGGACCCCTCAGCCGGGCCCATTTTGGGGGGCAGTGAGCCAGACAACCCCGTCTGCACTTCACTCCATGTCCCCAGCCAGCCCCAAACTGAAACTCTCTCCAGCCCCTCCTCCTCTGGGCTTTGTTCCTTTCCTGGGCCAGGAGGTCACCAGATCCCTTTGTTCTCCAACCCTTTAGCTCTCACCTTGTCAGGGGGAAGGGCCAGGCCATCAGTGGCCAGGAGACAGGGTGTCTCCATTTATGTACCCTGGCCCTTTGCTCTGCAACCATTACACCCCCTTATCCCACCCCCTAGAGACTTAAGAACTGCCTAGGGGAAACTGAGGCACCCCTACAGTATTCAGAGGAACCATTAAGAACAGTCCCGCTTTGTCACGGGGGGGTAAAGGGCCGGGAGGCTGGGCAGGGGGCCAGGCGCTCGGGTGTGGCCCAGGCTGAGCCCCGTATGGGTCTGGTTCCAGGTGCCGAGGATGCTGTGGCTGCTGCTGTGGCTGGCGTGGCCCGGCGAGGGCTCCCCGCGCGGCGAGGCCACGTTCATGGCCGTCACCAGCCATGTCCTCCCGCCCGACTACGACAGCAACCCCACGCAGCTCAACTACGGCGTGGCCGTCACCGACGTGGATGCCGACGGGGACTTGGAGATCGTGGTGGCAGGGTGGGTAGTGGGGGGGGGGGGGGGAGCAGGGTCCCTGGTGCTCCCGGTCCCACCCTTCCCTCTTCCCTGGGGCTGGGCCGGGGCTCGGGTGCCCAACCCTGGCATGGGATGGGGCGGAGCTGAGCTCCCATCCTGGCTGCCCGGCTCCCGGGCACTGCCTCTGGCCTGGGGCGTGTCTGGCTGGAGGAGGTGCTCTGGGCCGGTGGCAGGGCCCCTGGCGAGGGAAAAGCCTCTGGCAGCCAGCGCCCTGGGGAAGTGTCACAGGGGCCCGTTTGTGCATTTCACTCCTCCGAAAAAGAACAGGGCCCCAGGACAGGGCCCCAGGACAGGGCCCCGGCTGCCTGCTCCCGTGCCCAGTCTCCAGGGGACTCTCTATGACACGCTGGGCTGCCCTTCTGCCCCTGCCATGTCTCCCCAGCCTGGCCATGTGGGGCTCCCGCCCCGCGAGAGAGGCCCGTTGTCTCGGGGACTCAGCCCCACCCATGACCCACTCGGCCTCCAATGGGAGATGGGGGGTGGCGCAGGAAGGGTGGCAGGGTGCCCTGGCCTCCAGGTCCCTTCTGCAGGGCACTACCAGCTCATCCCTGTTGGGCTGGGGCCCCACTCACCTGTGATGCTGCTGATGGGCTGGAGGTTTTGTATAGCCCTTTACTGGGGCCCCCTCAGCAGGGCCCCCGGGTGCAGGCCAGCCCTTTGCTCCCTGCACACCCCGTCCTCTGCAGCACCCATGGGAGCTGGCTGTGGAGGGGCCTGGCGGTGGTGCAGCGAGGGAGGGAACCTGCCAGCACTGTGTGTGGGGGGGTGCGTGCTCAGGGGTGTCTGCACACGTAACCAGCTAGGTCTGTGGATCTCGTGGCCCTCGGCCCATCCCCCATGGATACCCGCACAACCCAGGCCTGCCAGCCCCGTCCAGCGGCTGTGGGGCATGGCTGCCTGGGCCCTAGCTGCTGCATGGAGCCCTCCTGCTGCTCACTCCTCCCGCCCACAGCAGCCCCAGAGCTGGATCTCTGGGTATCACCCCCAGACCCTTGTCGTGGCCCTGCCACCAGGCCCCCCAGCGCCAGCAGGGGGAGAAGGGAAGCCAGCAAAGCCCAGCGAGAGCCACGCTGCCCAGGCCAGAACCCTGCTGACGCGGCCGACCCGCTTGGCGTGCCCTGCATCGGCCAGGGGCTGGAGGAGGCTCGCGGGGGGGGCTAATGGCAGTGTAGACCGCCTGAGAGGCTGTGGCAGGTGGGAGAGCCGGAGTCACACCCGGGGCTCAGTGTTTAAAGCCCCCCCAACACCCATTGCAGGGGGCTGAGGTCCCTGCCCCGTGTGGCCTCGTTTGGGACCTGTGGGCGCTTGAAGGCGGGTTCTGGTCCCCGTTGCAGCAGGAACCCACAGCATGCCCCATGGGCTCCCCTGCCCATGGATCTGGCTGGGGGCCCGGCTGGCGAAGGCCCCATCAGACAGTCGGGCTGGAGGCGCCTGACCAGGGAGTTTCCATCTCTGCCGTGGTCTCTGTGTGCCAGGCTCTGGCTTCCAGCTGTGCCCTGCCCCCACCCTGGGGCAGCTGAGGACTGGTCTGTCCCTGCCCTGGGGGACCCTGCTGGGTGGCCAGTGGCCTGGTCAGCTGGGGCAGGGTGCGGGGGGAGCGTGGGGGAGGGTTTCCCAGCTCTGCTGCTGTTGTCTGAGGCTTGGCTGGGTAAGACCTGGCCCTGTAAATGCCTATCCTCACCCAGCCGAGGTGCTGCCCCCCCCTTTCTTCCCCCCCTCAGCCCTTGCTGTGCCTGAGTCGGATTATCTCAGAGGGACAGCTCCTGGCTGCCCGCAGCACCCCTGGGTGGGTGTCTCCAGGTGAGGGCAGCGTGGGTGGCCATGCACCCCCGGGCACAGCAGCAGCTGCTCCCCGTGCTCCGGCTCGTTCAGCGGTGCTGGGCGGTGGTGACCGATCGCGCCGAGCAGACGGACAGGGGCTTTCCCTCGTTAGGGCGGCACGGGGGTCTGGCTGGGTGGCAGGAGGCTCGACTGCTCCCCCACGAGCAGTGCCCCGTGCCACGGTCCAGTGTGGGGGAACGTGGGCCTCACCACGCTGGACAGCGCCCGCTGGCCTGCCCCCACTACCCAGGAGTAGGGGTGGGGCTGGAGCACTGTCCCTGAGGCCTGTATCCCCTGGACAAGAGAGGCCCAAGCAGCACCCCCGGAAGTGCTCCCCCCAATCCCACGATGGCCCATGAGGGACCCCCAGCTCAGCCAGAGCCCCAGCTCCCGGGGGCTGGGGCATCAAGGCCTCAGCTCTCCCCGCCTGGGGCAGGCACGTTGCGGGGGGGGGGGTAGTCTGCGTTCCTGGGGGGGTGCGGCTGGGCTGGAAGTGCAGGCTACTGCTCCTCCCTCCCCCTGCCCCCCGCCCCGGGAGCTGGGCCTGCTCCCCTCCCAGGCCGTGCGGAGCAGAGTCAGCAGCCGCTGGAAGGAGGGTTGTGTAACCAGCCCTGACACCACTTGTGTAACTGTTTACTGGAGCTGAGGGCAGGGCAGGGCCCCTCCGGGGTGGGCAGAGCTCAGCCGGGGTCTGCCTTGTTCCAGGCCTCCCAAATCTCCTGTGGAGGGGCCTTGCCCTGCCGGCTGCCATGGCTCCCAGGTCCTGCTCTAGGGCTGCCCCTAGAGGGGCAGGGCACGGCACGGAGTCTGCAGAGGGGCGAACGCTCCGCTCCTGGCACTGGGCCATGTCCTCGCCCAGGCTGTGCCCCAGGGGCCCCAGCAGGGCAGTGCCCCGACCTGTCCACAGCCGTGCCCTGGGCTGGCAGGTGCAGCCTTTGGGGGGAGCTGCTGAGTCCAGCGCCCGACCACCCTCTCCCCGAGCACCCAGGCTTCCTCCCGGGCAGCAGGGCCCAGAGAGGCTCCTCTCCCTCCGGGGCAGCCGCCTGGATCGCTGGCACCGGAGCCGTGGGCCTCGGCCCGTTCCCCTGTGGCTGCCCCTCACTGTGCCATGCTTTCCCCTGCCCTGAGGCCATGGTGCAGTCTTGCTCCTCCCTCAGCTGGGGGGCCCAGCCCCACTGAGCCTTGCCAGGGGCAGCCAGTTCTGGGGTGGTGAGCAGAGGGGCCAGCCCTGCTGCTGCGCCCAGCTGTTTCCTTGCGTGCTGGCAGGGTGCTCGGGGGGAGCGGGCAACTCTGTCTGCTGGAGCCTGTGGGCCCCACGGCAGGGCAGAGGCCAGATGGGGCCAGTCACCTCACTCATGCCAGGGAGAGGCATCTCTGAGCAGCAGCAGGCCACTTGGGTGGCCCGGGCAGCACCCACTGCATTCATGGCCTGGCCATGTGGGGCAGAGGGGTGGGCAGTGACCCTCCACCGTTAGGGGCCACGTGATGGGGGTGATCCTGCAGCGAGGGTACATGGTGCCTCCCAGGGCCTGGCAGGAGGTGGCGAGGGGCATGGGTTGTCTCCCCCGGCCACGCCTGCAGCTTCCCCCGCTGCCCGGCTGGGACCCCCTGCCCTGGCACTGCTGTGTGGCAGGGCTGGAGGTGGCCACCCTGATCCTCCCCTCCTGGCGGACGCTCTGGGGCTCAGTTAGGGGCAGAAGCTGCCCAGCACCTCACCCCCACCCCCAGCTTGTTCCAGGATCCCCCCCAACCAGCAGCACCCCCGCTTGCTCCTTCCTGCCCAGCCACTGCCGCCCTCCTGCCTCTGGGGGTGCAGGGAACGAGCTCCTGCCAGCCAGGGCTTGCTGTGGGGGGCAGTTGGAGAGGGCGTCCGTCTCCCCGTGGGGCTGGGCACAGCCTGGTCCTGCCCAGCCCTCGGGCTCCAGGGGTTCCTGCTGATTTCTAGATTCCTGGGCCAGCGGGGACCACGTAGCCTGAGACTGCTCCAAGCCATTCCCCAGCGCCGCGGCCCCTCCGTGCTGCCCCCATCCCCAGGGCAGCGGAGGGGACGCTCTTCCCTGCAGCCCCTGGTGAGCGCCCGGCAGCCCTCCAAGCTGGCACCAGGCGGGCGGTGCCACTCCCTCCCCATGGCAGGGCTCAAGTGGGGGCTTCAAGGAAAGGGCCTTGGGGCCACCCCAAACCCTCTGGGGGCCCAGCCCCAGCCTTGCCAGCCAGCCCCAAGGCACAGGCTGGGGTGGGTCCCACATGCCTGCCCCAGCGCTTCCGCTCGCCCCCCCAGGTACAATGGGCCCAACCTGGTGCTGAAGTATGACCGGGCGCGGCAACGGCTGGTGAATCTGGCGCCGGACGAGCGCAGCTCCCCGTACTACGCGCTGCGGGATCGCCAGGGCAATGCCATCGGGGTGACAGCCTGCGACATCGACGGGGACGGGCGCGAGGAGATCTACTTCCTCAACACCAACAACGCCTTCTCGGGTGAGCTGCACCCCCCCCCGCCACCGAGCCCAGGGGTCAACCCCCCCAGGGCCCCCTGCACCACCGAGCCCAGGGGTCAAACCCCCCGGGACCCCCTGCGCCACGAAGCCCATGGGTCAACCCCCGCCCCGGATCCTCTGAGCCACCTAGCCCATGGGTCAACACCCCCCGGGACCCCTGCACCACCGAGCCCATGGGTCAAACCCCTCCCCCCCCCCCCCCGGGACCCCTGCACCACCGAGCCCATGGGTCAAACCCCTCCCCCCTCCCCGGACCTCCTGTGCCACCGAAGCCCATGGGTCAAACCCCTCCCGGGCCCCCTGCACCAATGAAGCCTGTGGGTCAAACCCCTCCCGGGCCCCCTGTGCCATCGAGCCCATGGGTCAAACCCCTCCCCCCCCCCCCGGGACCCCTGCACCACCGAGTCCATGGGTCAAACCCCTCCCCCCTCCCCGGACCTCCTGTGCCACCGAAGCCCATGGGTCAAACCCCTCCCGGGCCCCCTGCACCAATGAAGCCTGTGGGTCAAACCCCTCCCGGGCCCCCTGTGCCACCGAGCCCATGGGTCAAACCCTTCCCGGGCCCCCTGCACCCCACGCCACCAAGCCCATAGGTCAACCCCTCCCCCCAGACCTCCTGTGCCACAGAACCCATGGCTCCTCCACCCGCCCCACCACAGTGCCCATGGTCCCTGCACCCCCCACCACAGAACATGTGGCCCATCCCCTCCACGCCACCACAGAGCCTGCACCCCCTGCCATGGAGCTGGCCCCCCATTCTCTGCCCAGCCCCCCCATGGATCCTGAACCCCAGCCACCCCCCTATGCCACCCCACATGGCTAGGGGTGCGGGGGTCCCTGTGTTGAGCATCAGAGGCCTGGGGGTCCTCGGGAGGGCGCATCGACAGCTCTGGACTGGGAATTCATGGGGGGGCGGGGGGGAAGTCCCTGGAGGCGTCGGGGGCGCCCGCCCTGGGCCTGCCGGGCGGCGCTGCCGTGACCTTCGGCGCATGAGGGATGGCTGCAGCCTGGAGTTAATTTCTCAGTCGAGTGACTCCATTGATTCACGGCCGGGACACGGAGCCAGCGCAGCCGCTGAGTCAGCAGCGCCTGCGGCCCCCAGCCCTCCCCGCCGCGCCCGGGCCCACCGTCCCTGAGGCCCTGCTGGGACAGGGGTCCCCTACCCACGGGGGAGCTGTGGGGAGGCCCCAGTGCAGGGCCCTCTCCCCAGAGCCAGCACTAGGGTCAAGCTGGGGCCAAAGAGAAACGGGGGAGAGGGGTGCACGGTGCATGTCCCAGTACCCCCAGTCTGGCACTAGGGGGTGCTGCGGGGCGCTGCTCACCAGGCGGGGGGTGGGCTGACCCATAGCCCCATCCCCAGGGTAGCGACAGGGGCTGTCCCTTAACCCCTCGTATGCCCCACTCCTGCCATGGCATTTGAGGCGGCTGCCCATCTCACACCCCTCGCACGAGGCCAGGGCAGCTGCCTCTTATCCCTGCACTCCATCTCCAGGGGCCAGTGCTTCCCTGCAGGCCATGGCCCCTGGCTGCCCTGGCCTGGCCCCCCGACTGGCACTGCAGGAGTCTGCCCAATGCTCCGCGTGCCCCTGGCCTCGGCCTGCCCCTGCAGTGACCAGGGCGGTGATGGGGCACCTTGCCAGGGAGTGGGGAGGGGTGTGACGGTGTCAAGTCGCTGCCGCGGTGGGGGCAGTCCAGAGTCATGGGGTCCTGCCAGTGCCCTCAGCTGCATGTGAGATGGGCAGGTCCAATGGCTCGCCAAGGGCCTGACAGCCCTTCCTCCCCCGCTAACGGCCTGGCTGCTGGAGGCAGGGCCATTGTGCGCTGGAATCTCCTCCAAACACCTGGCCCCAGTGTCTTCCCTTGGAGACAGTCCCCGGCACGCTGGGCAGCGCCAGCCTGCCCAGCCACTGCAGCTGGAGCTCACGGCAGCCTGTCCCTGCCTGGGGGGGTCTGGTCATGGGGGGGGTCTCTGTGGGTTGGGCCCACTCATGCTCTGCCAGGCCCCCGGTCTTGCTGGGTGCCTCCATCTCTCCCTTGGGGTTCTGGGCCCCGGTGCATTGAGCTCTGAGCTGGGGCAGGGGCCCTCCGGGCCTGGCTTTGGTGCTGCTCTCGGAGCCACTAACAACTCGGGGATGCGTGTCTGAAATGGGGTCCCCCAGGCTCCATGGGAAGGGCACAGGCCCCCGTCAGAGGGGTCCCCCCTTTTTTTTCTTGGCATCGGGGGCCCTGCTGAGTGGGGGCCATGTGGCCATCAACCTGAACTCCTCACCATGGATCCGTCTTCCTGACACACCTAATTACCCAGGCTGCAGCTGCCAGCGCGTTGCCTGTCCCTAAATCAAGCAGTCCCATTACTCCTGTCGGCTGGCCTGCGGCCGCGGGCCCTCCATTGATTTCCCCCTCCCCTGCTTGATCTACGAGGCTCTGCACAGCTCACCTTAATGAGTTCGTTCTGCCGGGCAGCTCTCCGCTGGTGCGGCCCCTGCCCCTGCGCCACTGGGCACCAGCCCCCTGGAAAGGCGAGCGGGGGCTGGGGGCCGGGATTGAGGGGCCCCGGCGGGGGCTGGGGGCTGGGATTGAGGGGGCCCCGGCAGGGCTGGGGGGCTCCAGAGAGCAGGGCCTGGGTGCTGTGACATTGGTGGACTCCCCAGGGCAGTACAGTGGGGGTTCTGCAGCGCCCCCCCACACGTTGCCTCCTGCCCGGGCAGATCCACGCCAAGCCAGCTCCTCCCCTGCTCCTCTCCCTGCACACTTGTGCTTTCAGCAAAGAATGAATGAGCCTCTGTGGGGCCTGCCCCCCACTCGCCCCCCTGACCTCTCTCCCCCCCAGGCCTGGCCACCTACACGGACAAGCTGTTCAAGTTCCGGGCGGGGCGCTGGGAGGACCTCCTGAGCGACGAGGTGAACCGGGCAGTGGCCAGCCGCTTCGCCGGGCGCTCGGTGGCCTGCGTGGACAGGGCGGTGAGTGGGCAGCAAGCCCGGCTGGTGGCCCTCGGGGCTGAGGACGTGGGCGCAGCGGGGTCATGGGGGCGTGGGGGGAGCTTCCTTCCCACCCAGATCAGGCTCTGTTCCCCAAACTCCCCCCCGGCCCCCCTCGCAGGCTGTCGCTGGTTGTGTGGGGATGAGGTGGCACTTCCGAGCCTCTCCCATCCTGGCCTCAGCCCTCTGCCCCCTAAGTGCCCCCCCGGCTGCCAGGGCCCCAGCTCCCTCCTCCACCCCCCCCCAGCTGTTAGGGCCCTGGAGCCTTTCCCTGGAGTTGTCTCCCGGCTCTCGGTGATTTATGCTCCTGTCACCTGCTCTGTCTTCTTCCTCCTCCTGCTCCTGCTGTTTGTTTTCCAAGGATTATCACTAAATCAGGGCCCGGCTGCTGCAGGGGAACAATGGGAGGGGGGCGGGGAGTGTAGGGGAGCAGGGCCTACCCAGGGGATGGGGTGGGGTGCAGAGCCAAGCTGTGGGGTGTGGGGGGCAGGGTGGAGTGGGGTGGGGTAGTAGGTGGCAGGGGAGCAGAGCCGAGCTGCAGAGTGGGGTGTTTGGGGGTCAGGTAAGGGGAAGTGGGGCTGTACCATGGGGTGAGGACTGGGGAGGAACGGGGTTGGGGGAGGTGGGGGCAGGTGGAGGGGAGCGGGACTGCGACACGGGGGGCAGCAGGGCAGAGCCGTGGCGCAGTGGGGGACCCGGGCGGTGGGGGGGATGCAGCATGAGCATTCCCAGCATGCGGGGGGGGCAGCCGGACAGACACCGAATCTTGCCAGGTCAGGGCCTCGAGTGGCTCCCCCGCCCCAGGCTCAGCCCTCGACCGACGCGTGGGGCCCGGGGCCCTGACACGGCTGCAGCCCGCACGCCACCCCCCACCCCTGCTGCGGGACTCTCATCCGCTCCCAGCGGGGCTGGCCAGAGCCCGCAGGCTGCCCCCAGGACCCTGCCCGGCCCAGGCGTCTCCATCAAGGGAAGCCCCTTCCTAGGCCTGCTGCTGCCCCAGCCAGGGTGTCGCAGCCGGCTGCAGGCTGGCGAGCCGGGGGGGCCCTGCCCAGCCTGGCTCTGCCCTCACCCGCCCGCCCCTTGCCCGCAGGGCTCCGGCCGATATGCCATCTACATCGCCAACTACGCCAACGGCAACCTGGGCCCCCACGCGCTGCTGGAGATGGACGTGACCGCCAGCGACCCTGCCCGCGGCATCGTGGTGCTGGCTGACGTGGCTGCCGAGGCCGGGGTCAACAAATACACAGGTCCCAGGCAGCCTGCGCAGGGCTGGGACACCGTGGGAGGGGGCGGCGCGGGGAGGGGGTGCTGCGAGAGGGGCCCCTGGAGAGGGGGCGGCGCGGGGAGGGGGTGCTGCGAGAGGGGCCCCTGGAGAGGGGGCGGCGCGGGGAGGGGGTGCTGCGAGAGGGGCCCATGGAGAGGGGGCGGCGTGGGGAGGGGGTGCTGTGAGAGGGGCCCATGGGGAGGGGATGGTGTGGGGAGGGGTGGCGCAGGCATGGGGCTGCTGCAGGAGGGGCCCGTGGGGACAGGTTGGCCCATGGGGAGGGGGCAGCGTGGGGATGGGGTGCTGCGGGAGGGGCCCGTGGGGAGGGGGTGGCACGGGGCTGCCCATAGAGCGGGTGCCATGCCTGGCACACATGGTACTGGGGCTGTCTCTGGGCTGGGTGTTTGTTTTCCAAGGATTATCACTAAATCAGGGCCCGGCTGCTGCAGGGGAACAATGGGAGGGGGGCGGGGAGTGTGGGGGAGCAGGGCCTACCCAGGGGATGGGGTGGGGTGCAGAGCCAAGCTGTGGGGTGTGGGGGGCAGGGTGGAGTGGGGTGGGGTAGTAGGTGGCAGGGGAGCAGAGCCGAGCTGCAGAGTGGGGTGTTTGGGGGTCAGGTAAGGGGAAGTGGGGTGAGGACTGGGGAGGAACGGGGTTGGGGGAGGTGACTCCTGCCCAGGAAGGGGGGCTGCATGAGGACGATCCCCAGTGCAAGGGGCCAGGACTACCCCGCCCCCAGTGGGGAGTCTGGGCTCCAAAGTCTCCCCCTGGGCTGTCTTGCTCCTGCACTGGGGAGCCGGCGGGAAAGGCCCCCAGGGGAGATGGCAGGTGCTGAGGGTTAGAATGGGGTGTCTCTGTCTGGAGGGGCAGACGCCCCAGACCGGTGGTGGGGTCTGTAATTAGCTTTCACCAGGCCAGTAACAAATGTGGACTCCCAAAGTCCTAAAACGGTCTTACTGTGGAGTCCCAGGGAGTCCCCTTGGGCTCTCCAGCCTAGCGCACCCCTGACCAGCCACACGGCCTCATAACGTACCCCCAGAATCACAACGTTCAAGCTGCTTCCAGTCCCAAGAGAGCGGTCGCTTCCCCCAGCTTGGCTTGTCCCCAGGTCTCACACCAGGGACCGTGGGGGAGCCGGCCCTGGAGCTAGCTCCAGCGAGGAGATAGAGACAGTTCCCAGCGGGCAAACAGCCGCTCCGAGGAGCTTGTCTCATTCCAAAGGTGGCAGAGCTGCCGTTATCTCCATGCCAAGTGGCTTCCAGGGCTGACCCACGGCTAACAGGGTTTGCCCCTCAGGGTCCAGACAGTGGGAAAGAGCCTCAGTTTCCCCTTGTCAGGGATATGTAGCCCCTCCAGCCCAGAGCCCAAGCAAACTCATGTAGGTCTCTGCTTCCTGGAGATCAAGAAATGCAGTGAGCAGGGTGCCGCATTTGCTGCGGGGGCCCCCCTGTGTGCGGGTCGAGCCTTCGGCTTAGGGAAAGCTGCTTTGGCTGATGGAGGAGTGTGACAAAGTGGGGATTTTCCCTTGTTCTGTTGTATGTGAGTCTTACTCGTCAGCCTAAGTGAGTTTTACTGTTTTGGATGAATACTGCGTGTGCCTCAGTTTCCCTGTGTGCTGCACCAATACCTTGGTGGTGGGAATAGGCGTGTGTGACTTTGGCCGTGTGAGCGGTTTGACAGGCTGCTCGCAGAGAGGAGACTTCACCGGAGTCCTGCCTGGCTTCGTAGGGAGCAGTTCCAGAGCATCGCCTGGGGACCCCGTGACAACAGGGCAAAACAGGGCAAGAAGCTCACCCGGCTTCCACCTTCCTGGGTCTGACCTCAGAGCATTCAGCATCCTCTGCCCCTCCGTGCGCTTCCCACACCGAGTCCGCCCAGGCGGGGTCCTGGGGGGGCCAGAGGGTCCTGCCCCCCAACTCCGCAGTCAGACGTGACTCTCGGCCACCGTAAAATGGAAGGTTTATTAGTTGACAGGAACACATAGGAGGGCAGAACTTGTTAGCACAGAAATCAGTGACTTTCAGCCAAGTCCATCTTGGGGAGTCCTGGGTCAGATGGCCTGGACTCCCCCTCTTCCAGTCCCCCAAGCAGACTGCCTGCTTCCGGTGGCCCGACCTCAGACCGCCATCCCCATTGCTCCTCCTCCTTGTCTTTGTCTTGCTTCCTGGCAAAAGTCACCTGGTCCTCACCTGGTTGCATCCCCCTCCTGGTTCCGAAGGGCACCGGTGTCACGGAGTCCCCGGGTGATGCTCTGGAGCTGCTCCCTACGAAGCCAGTCAGGACTCTGGGGAAGTCTCCTTTCTGGGAGCAGCCTGTCTGCAGGACACACAGCTCACCCGGCTTCCAGCTTCCTGGGTCTGACCTCGGAGCATTCAGCATCCTCTGCCCCTCCGTGCGCTTCCCCCAGCGAGTCCACCCAGGAGGTGTTCTAGGGAAGCCAGAGGGTCCTGCCCCCCAACTCCGCAGTCAGACGTGACTCTCAGCCAGCCAGTAAAACAGAAGGTTTATTAGACGACAGGGACATGGTCTAACACAGAGCTTGTAGGTGCAGAGAACAAGATCCCTCAGCTGGGTCCATTTTGGGGGGCAGTGAGCCAGACAACCACGTCTGCCCTTCACTCCATGTCCCAGCCAGCCCCAAACTGAAAATCCCTCCAGCCCCTCCTCCTCTGGGCTTTGTTCCTTTCCCGGGCCAGGAGGTCACCGGATTCCTTTGTTCTCCATCCCTTCAGCTCTCACCTTGCAGGGGGGGAAGGGCCCAGGCCATCAGTTGCCAGGAAACAGGGTGTCGGCCATTCTCTGTGTCCAGACCCCTGCACACACCTGCCCTCTAGGGCTCTGCAACGATCATACACCCTTACCCCACCCCCTAGATACTTAAGAACTGCCTAGGGGAAACTGAGGCACCCCACACTATTCAGAGGAAACATTAAGAACAGTCCCACTTCGTCACAACCGGTCATAGCATACGAGCAGGCAGCTGGAGCAGCCTCACCTGCCCTAGAGGTCTCGGCCAAAGTCACATGCCCCTATTCCCACCACCAAGGTATTGGGGGGTGAGCGGGGGCTGCATGAGAGGGGGTGGGGGAGGGGAAGGTGTGGGGCCAAGCGGGAGGGAGCGGAGGTGGGAGTCGGCGGCTGAGGGGAAGGAGGAGGGGCAGGTGTGGGGCCGAGCGGGAGGGGGCAGGGTGGGAGTGGGGGCCTGAGGGAGGAGGGGAAGGTGTGGGAGTAGGGGGCGGAGGGGAGGTGTGGGGCCGAGCGGCAGGGTGGGAGTGGGAGTGGGGGGCTGAGCAGGAGGGGGAGGGGATGGGGAGGTAGGAGGGGAAGGTGTGGGGCAGAGCGGGAGAGGGCAGGGAGGGAGCCTGAGGGAATGAGGGAGGGAGGGAGGGAGGGAGGGGGGAATGTGTGGGGCGCAGAGAGGACAAGACGGCCACATGAGGCCGAGTTTGCTCCGGGTGCCCTGACCAGTGCCCTGCTGTCCCCAGGCGGCCGTGGGGTGGCCGTGGGCCCCATCCTGAGCGCAAGCGCCTCAGACATATTCTGCGATAACGAGAACGGGCCCAACTTCCTCTTCCACAACCAGGGGGACGGCAGCTTCGTCGACCGGGCTGCCAGCGCCGGTGAGTGAGCCGGCAGGTGGGGGCGGTGGCGTGGCCGGGGGGCCAGCCCTGGAGCCAGAGTGGCCGAGCGATACCCACAGGGCCCGTAGGAGGCCGAGCTGGGCCCCCGAGCGTGTTCCCAGACCTGGGCCCCCCGAGCAGGTTCCCAGATGTGGGGCCCGGCTGACTCCGCGCTGCGACTGTAACACGCTGAGCCGAGGGCCGCCGAAGAACCGTGCAGGGGATCGCAGCGGGTTAAGGAGCCGTGTCTGGGGCGTCCACTCCCAACCCGGGCAGCTCCCCCCGCCTCCCTCCCCCTCCCGCTCACTCTGGGGGGGGCAGCTGGCTGCATGCCACGCAGAGCCCCCCACGGTGCCCGGCCCAGACGGAGACGGGGCTCCCTCTGCACTGGAGCTGTCCTTGGCCCCACTCCCAACCAGTCTCCTCTGCTGCCCCGCAGGCCTGGATGACCCCTACCAGCATGGACGCGGCGTGGCCCTGGCCGACTTCAACCGCGACGGCAAAGTGGACATCGTCTACGGCAACTGGAATGGGCCCCACCGCCTCTACCTGCAGATGAGCGCCGGCGGGCGGGTCCGCTTCCGGGTGAGTGTGGGGCACACACGCTGCCGAGGGGCACCGGGACCAGGGCCCCCAGCCTCCCCAGCCTTCCACACCCTCCCCGGGGGCTTGCTGTCCCAGCTCTCCCTGGGGACGGACACTCACTGCCCCTTCTGGGGAGCCCAGAGCCCGGCCAGGCTTAGGGAGCCCCTGGGTTCCAGCTCTGTCAGGCTCTGACCTCCTTGGTCCGACTCCTGGTGAGAACCCCGACTTCTTCCAGCAGCCCCCTCTGAGCCCCCCACCCCCATCCCAGCCCTTTGATCTCCAGCTGGGGGGCATGTCTCAGCCTCCTTGCGCAGAGGCGGGGAGATCTCTGTCCCCTGGGGTGCTGGGTGTCAGTGTCCTGGGGACTGGATTTGCCATCGGCGTCTCAAATCTCCACTGATCTGGGGCCAGGCCCAAACAGCCAGGCGACGCCCCACCCTTGTCTCAGCCTGTCCTGAGAGGAAAGAGTCCTATCCCACCCATGGGGGAACAGCACAGGGGAAACTGAGGCACACCACATTCCTAAAGATATCCCTTGGCACTTCCAGCTGTGCTGCCCAGCCCACCGAGCGCTGCAGCTCCCCCATCACTCCATGGCCCTTGTTATGCTTATAAGAAGCACACGGGATCTTTTTTCAGGGGAAAAGGCAGTATGCCGCGTTTACTGAAGATACAACAATTAGCATATACATTCTCTCTCTCTCTCATGATTTTCCTCCCTTGGGACCCATGAGGTCTGCACCCTCACACTGTAATCAATCGTCATCTGACGAGGGCTTGTTTTCTTACATTGTCCTTCTCATCCTGGATCTTGTTCTTTCATCAAGTCTCTCAGGGAGTTGCCCCAGGCTGGTTTTGATCACTGCTACCTTGTCCCCATTGATGGGTGCCCATCTCATCTTCTGAGTCATCAATCTGCCTTCCTCTGACATCTCAAATGGGGCATGTTGCAGCCTCCTGGTGCCCTTGCATCTGTGTCAGGGTTCCCTCCCCACTCTGAACTCTAGGGTACAGACATGGGGACCCACATGAAAGACCCCCTAAACTTATTTCTACCAGCTTAGGTTAAAAACTTCCCCAAGGCACAAATCTCTATTTGTCCTTGGACTGAGGTATGCTGCCACCACCAAGTGATTTAACAAAGAACCAGGGAAAAGGAGCACTTGGAGTTCCTCTTCCCCCAGCAATCCCCCCAAGCCCTTATACCCGCGTTCCTGGGGAAGCTTGAGAATAATATCCTAACCAATTGGTTACAAAATGATCAAAGACCCAAACCCCTGGGTCTTGGAACAATGGAAAAATCAGTCAGGTTCTTAAAAGAAGGATTTTATTTAAAAAAAAAAAAAAAGAAAGGTAAAAATCATCTCTGTACAATCAGGATGGAAAATACAGGGTGTCTAGATTCAAAACCTTAAAGTTACAGAAAACAGGAATAAACCTCCCTCTTAACACAGGGAAAATTCACATAAAACAAAAGATAAACAAATCCACCTTGCCTGGCTTACCTATACTAGTTGCAATATTGGAGACTTGGATTAGGATGGGCTGGAGAAGATGGATTTCTGTCTGGCCTCTCTGAGTCCCAAGAGAGAACGGCCACACAAACAAAGAACCCAAAACAAACAGTCTCCCCTCTCCCCAGATTTGAAAGTATCTTTTGTCCCCATTGGTTCCTTTGGTCAGGTGCCAACCAGGTTATTTGAGCTTCTTAACCCCTTACAGGTAAGGAGGAATTTTAGGCTACCCTTATGGTTATGACAGTCTGTCTCTGGTTCCTCCCTAGACCATCTGGTTCAGTGATTGCCTTCACACTTATCTCTTAACACCCATTCCTCATTCACACGCAACACGGAACGTTTTGAACAGAAACATCAAATTGCAAAGCAGAAGAAAAACAGTCATGGCTACATTATGATCTTCTTATTCTTTATCCTTCATTCTAAATTATACAAAAAATAAATCCTACTACTACCCCTGACCCATCTGTCCCACAGGACATCGCCACCCCCAAGTTCTCCATGCCGTCCCCCGTCCGCACTGTCCTCGCAGCCGACTTCGACAACGACCAGGAGCTGGAGGTGTTCTTCAACAACATCGCGTACCGGGGCTCCTCTGCCAACCGCCTCTTCCGGTAGGGCCACCCACCGGGGCAGGGTCACAGGGCGGGCTGCCTACCTGGCGGGGGATGAGAGCAGCTCACCTGCCCACCCAGGAGATGGGCAACATGCCCAGGAGAGCCAGGGGCCACAGCTGCGTGCCCAGGAGGTAGGGAGGGCGGGCAGACTGGATTCCAATGCCCCTGGCGTGGAGGTGTGCTCAGTGCCCAGGAGCCAGGAGGTGTGCCCTCAAGAGCCCATGGGCACCAGCCGCTGTGACGAAGCCCTTTGCAATGTCATTATCAGCCCCTCACTCACAGTGCTAATGCCCTGGGTTCTGTGCAGCAGCCCCTCATTAATTGTGGGGATCGATGGCTCATTAGCACCAAACCGCTCATTTGTCCCAGATGGAGAGTATCAGTGCAGTGACCAGGCCCCGGCTGCCTGTGCGGTGACAGCGTGTCCCGCAGACGGGGCCTCCTGGGGGCACAGCTCTGCATGCTCTATGGTGCCCCCCGGGCAGTGCCAGCTGGGTCTGCTCAGTGGGCAGGGAAAGGGTTAAGCCATCCTGTGGGGTTTCCCCTCCAGCTGCTGGCTCTACTGCTGGTTTCTGGGGGGCACCCTTGCTTTGCCCCAGCCAACACGCTGCTGCGGGTGAGCTCCCCGCCAATGGCGACAGCCAATGCCAAGAGACATGTCCTGGCTGTGGGCACAGAGCATCCCCCAGCCAGGTTACCCCTCCCCTCTGCTCCCACCGCTCTGCACAGCCAGCTGGCATGGGCTGAGCCCGGGCCCCACATCTCCCCTCATGTCCCTGGCCCAGCTCCCAGGATGGATTAGCTCCCTGAGCCTGCCCCTGAGCCTCCCCCCCATGCCCTCCTTATCCCATTGCCCTCACCCACCCCCTGTTCCCCACACCCTCTCACAGCAGCACCTCTGGGCTCAGGCCACATCCTGCCATTTGCTGTGTGGGAGGACGGGCCCCACGGCCAGGCCCACACAAATCCCACTGCCGGATCAGGGCCTCAGCTCTTCAGGTCAGGGCTGTCTCTCCTGCGGGGCAGTGCCCAGGGCCCAGGCTGCCCAGATACAATAGCGAGGTCAGCCTCAGCCTCAGCCCCAGGGGCAGGCTGACACGGCATGAGGGGGAGTCAGAGCCCTGCACCCCCACTTCCTGCGATTCACCATGACTCTCAGCCAGCCGGTAGAACAGAATGTTTATTAGAAACGACAGGAACACAGTCCAGACCAGAGCTTGAAGGCATAAACAGGACCCCTTAGTCAGGCCCTTCTGGGGGGCAGGGAGATTAGACCCCAGCCTTGGGGCTCCCTCCTCTTCCCCAGCCAACTCCCAAAACTGGAAACCCCTCCAGCTGTCTCCCCCAGCCTCCCCGCAGCTCCTCCTCCAGCCTTTGTCCAGTTTCCTGGGCAGAAGGTGTCACCGCCCCAACTCCCCTCCTGGCTCAGGTTACAGGCTCAGGTATCTTCCCTCAAGGGAAGTCTCCCATCCCCAATGAAACTCCCCTGCAACATTCCCAGGTTAAATCTGCCCCACGCCCTGCTGTGTCACACAGGCCCTGCCCCATTTCAGAGGAGGGAATAGGGCCTGCTAAGTCCCCACAGGGCCACCCTCCGACCCCAGCCATTCACCCACACCAAGGCCCATCTGGCTCTGCTGGATCCTGGCACAGTCTCTCCATCAGGGGCTCCGAGCCCCTTGGCCACGGCCTGTCCCAGCCTGGTACTGAAGGGAGGCGATGCTGTGTGTGCCAGGCAGGGCTCCTCGCCAGGATGCAGCACTGGCATAGGCTCTCGCCCGACAGGACTACACCCTCTGCCAACCCTGCCCCTTGCAGCCCAGGGACCCTGCGTGGAGCCAGAGGCTCGCTGTGGCAGGGGGTCACGTGGCCAGCAGACATGGAGGGGTTTGGGCAGCCGGTGGGGTTGGGGGCCCGGGGCCTGGCTCTCACCCTCGTCCCCTGCAGGATTGTCCGCAGGGAGCACTCGGATCCTGTCATCGAAGAGCTGAACCCAGGAGACGCCATGGAGCCCGAGGGCCGGGGCACTGGTGAGTCCTCCACACTGCACTCCTGCTGTCGGGCTCCCCTGACCCCCAGGGGCTGGGCCAACCCCGGCAGGGCCAGGTGCTGAGATGCCCCCAAGCTGTACTGCGTGGGGACCCCTGGGTGCTGTGGGGGTCAGTGGGGTGACACATGAGTCAGCCCCGGTCAGCAGGGGGCGCCTGCAGGGCTGGGTGGGGAGCTGCAGCCGCTGGGCAGGAGGTGGAGCAAGCGGGCGAATCCTGGGTTGGCTCCGGGTTGCGGGCGGCTGGATCAATGGCTCCATTGTTGTCTCCCATCCCTGCCCCAGAACAGCAGGGCCCTGGTCTGGCCCGGCCCCTCTGCGCCCTCATCTGCCCAGTGACGCCGTCAGTTCCTGGGGGTCGGGGTCAGGGTGCTGCCCCCTCGATGCGGGGCCCCAGGGAGCCAAGCCTGGCACAGGTCAGTGGCTGCTGATGTAACCCCATCCCCAGGGACCAGAACCTTGGGGTGGCTCCGTGCGTGCTGCAGGGTGACAGTCAGGAAAGTTGAAGAGGCTACTGACAGGCAGCATGATCTAGTGGTCAGAGCATGGGGGCCTGGGAGCCAAGACTCCTGGGTTCCATCCTGAGCTCTGGGAGGAGCGTGGGTTCTAGGGGGTCAGGACTCCTGGGTTCTACCCCTGCCTCTGACACTGACTCTCTTTCATCTTAGGCAAGGAACGGCGCTTTCTAGCCAGGGCTGCCTCCCCGGCCGCTGTCCCTCTGGGCTGCCTGCAGCCCGACCGACCGTGGCTACTGGGCGTGGGGTGGATCATCCCTGCAAGCCTGTGGTCATCTGAGCCGGTCCCAGGTGCAGGCTGCACCGGGGCTAGGAGGGGCTGGCGTGAGAGACGGGCAGAGCTGGGCCGGGGAGGTGGGGGATTGCGATGGGGGCTGACCCCCAGCCCCTGCTGTCGTTGCAGGGGGTGCAGTGACTGACTTCGATGGCGATGGGCTTCTGGACCTGATCCTGTCCCATGGCGAGTCCATGGCACAGCCACTCTCAGTCTTCAGGGGCACCCAGGTGCGTTGGGGCCCCATGCTGGGCCACAGTGGGGCTTTGCTGTAAAGACTTTGTATGACTGCTGTGCGTGCCTCAGTTTCCCCTTGTCACGGAGTCACAGGCTGGGGGTGCGGGCACCGCTCTGAATGAAGTCGGGCAGTGTGGCTCCCCTCAGGGCACACACTCACCAGGGCAAGAAGCCTCCTGGGCGTCGGTGCTTCCTGGGCCTGACTTCGGAGCGTTCGGCCCCGTTCACCCCGGGAGCTCCCGGCAGCGAGTGCCCCTGGATGGGACCCCTGGGGAAGCCTCACCCGCCCCCAAAGGGCCCTGCCCCCCACTCCGCAGCCAGCCGTGACTCTCAGCCAGCGTGTGACACAGACGGGTTATTAGTCGTCGGGCCCCCAGCGTAGAACAGAGCTTGTGAGTGCAGAAATCGGGGACATTCAGAAAAGTCCATTGTTGCGGGGGGATCCAGAGCCCTGGGCCCTCTCCCCGGAGACCCAAACCAGAAGACTGACTCACTTCCAGCCGCCCAGCCTCAGACACGCCCAGCTGCCCCCACCCACCCCCAGTCCTTTGTCTCTTCCTCTTGCCGGGGGACAAGCTCTGGCCATCAGTTGCCAGGATACAAAGTGCCAGGTTCTCTGTGCCCAGACAGCCAATCAGCAGTCACACCTGCCCTCTTGGAGTCTTTGCAGCCTAGATACTTGAGTAACACACGGGAAACTGAGGCACACACCGAGTATTCAGAGTAAACATTAAGCACATTCCCACTGTGTCACCCCGCTTCCCCCCAGACGAAGTCTCTGGCTCTGCCCTATTCAGCCTGGTCCCCGGGATTGTGTCTCCCCCAGCCGGAGGCTCCCTCCCCCTGGGGCAGTCTGTGACCCCGGGTCAAGGCTGGGGAGTGTGAGCAGGCTGTAGCCACATGTCCAGCCACATGTCCAGATCATCCCCCATCAGCACCTCCACGGGTCACTGATCCTGCACCCCTGCCTCTTGGCCCCTGTCTCAAGTAGTTCTTCACTGAGGGGCCAAACACCCCCCCAGGGCGCAAGATTCGTGGGGCACTAACTGATCTGGGCCCCCCCACTGCGGCTGTGCCAACATCACCCCAGCACCTGTGTCCAGAACCTGCCCTTTCTTCCCATCCACCCTCTGGGGACAAACACGCCTGCTCCCTGCGGGTTGCCCTGCTCAGCCTGTACATTGATCACACCAGAGCTTCCTCCCAGAGCCACAGCCAGGCTGTCCCGTGGGGAGCTGGAGTGCCCCCGCCGGGCTCCTGCTGAGTTAACCGGTCATGGGTTCTGCTTGGCTGCTGCTTCCATAACCCTGGGGTGTTTTGCCTACGGAAATTACATCACAGGTCTCTGAGGTCCCTTGGAGGGGGTCGGCCGCATCCACCGTCACCCCTGGTTTGGGCTTACTAGAGTCCTGCTTCTGGGGCACCCCTGGGTGGCCCCTCTTTGGGTCCCCGACCTGGGCCAGTCCCTCCGGGTCTCTCCATGCCTGGCCCTGCTGCCCACGAACTGCTCTGCCAGCCTGCCTGCGCTGTGCAGATCCTTTGGCTTCCTGGCTGCTAGCCACGTTTTCCGCTCCGCTCCCCCCACCTCCAAGCTGTCAGGGGCCCCAGGTCACGGAGCTGCTCCAACCCCGCCAGGCTGCACCCCCTGCAGTGTGGTGACCTCAGCTGGGGGGCGGCTTCCATGCAGGTCCCCCCCCGGGGCCTTCTGCACACCTCAGAACTGTGTCCCCTAAGCCTCGGGGTCCATTCAGACCTGAGCAGCGGAGCCTGTTTGACCTGTTCATAGCCGCAGAATGGATTCCATCCACCTGGCCATGTGCTCCTAGCGCTCTGGGGCTGAGGAAGGGGTGACAGAGCGGAGCTGGGCCGCAGGGTCCCTGAGTTCAATCTGCAGGTGTTCCCAAGGGCAGTGAGATCGGCATCTCAGCCCCCCACTGAAACTGGAGCACCAATTGGGGAGCTAGGCTCCCTGCAGAATTGGCAGCCTTTCCCCACATACCCATTGGTGGGGCCTCTCTCCCCTCGGCTCCTCCAGCTCCCGCGTCTCCTGCTGCTCCACCTCGTGCTTTCGCTCCTCCGGGTCCTCTCACCCCTTTGCTCTCAGCTCCCCACCACTCCAGTCAGACTGTCAGGACCCAGGTCGCGAGGACACCCCCTGCGAGACGGGGGACCCAGATCGCACGGAGGCCCTGCTGCTGCGCGGGCTGCTGCCTCTGCTGCTCTCAGACCCTCCTAGAACCTGCTTCCTGGACTGATCGTCCTTCTCCAGCCGTCCCAGCGGCTGCCCGCTTCCCCCCACGGAGCCCCCTCTCCCTGCAGAGGCTGGCAGTGCCCCCAGGGGCAGGTCACACGCCGTTTTCCTGCTGTTCCTTTTGGCTGCTCTTGTTTCCTGGCTGCCAGTCACTTACGGCAAAATACTTCTGATGCGTTCAGCAACCTCCCATCCTCGTGGTGCCTTCCCCAGCCTGCCTCTGCTCCCCCATCACCAACCCACAGGGCTGGTTTTCTTCAACAGCCCGAGAAGGCCCCCTTCAGGGAGCCAGACCCTCCCAGGGGCTCGCTCTGTCACTAGGGGAAGCCCCTCGGCTTCACTGCCTCCTTGGACCGAGCCTTCAGCACCCCTGGGTCATGCTGTGAGCTCCCTCCAGCGAGTCCACCTGAGAGAGACTTGGACCCCCAAGGAGCACAATGCCTCCCACCTCCAGCCCCTGCAGGGCCGCAGCCGGCGCGGTTACATCAGGAGGGTTATGAGGGGTGTGGAACAGAGCTAGGCAGACCTTGGGTAGTACCAAGAGCAGGAAGTTACAGCCTGGCCCACACACCCAAGTATCCAGCCCTTCTCCACCCCTAGGTGACAAAGCAGCATGGGGGGTGTCACGGAGTCCCCGAGTGATGCTCTGGAACTGCTCCCTACGAAGCCAGGCAGGACTCTGGGGGAGCCTCCTCTTTCTGAGCAGCCTGTCTACAGGACTCACACCTCACACAGCTTCTACCTTCCTGGGTCTGACCTCGGAGCATTCAGCATCCTCTGCCCCTCTGTGCGCTTCCCCCAGCGAGTCCGCCCAGGCGGGGCTCCTGGAGAAGCCAGAGGGTCCTGCCCCCGAACTGCGCAGTCAGACGTGACTCTCAGCCAGCCAGTAAAACAGAGGTTTATTAGATGACAGGAACATGGTCTAGAACAGAGCTTTGTAGGTACAGAGAACAGGACCCCTCAGTCACGTCCATCTTGGGGGGCACGGAGGCCAGAGCCCCATGTGGGCCTCCCTCCATTTCCCCAGCCAGCTCCAAACTGAAACTCTCCAGCCCCTCCTCTGGCCTTTGTGTCTTTCCCGGTGGGGAGGCCACCTGATCTCTTTGTTCTCCAACCCCTTCAGTCAGGCACCTTTGCAGGGGAGGGGCCCAGGCCATCAGTGGCCAGGAGACAGGGTGTCGGCCATTCTCTGTCCGGACACCATCACACTGGCCCTCTCGGGCTCTGCAACAATCACACCCCCTCATCCCCCCACCTAGAGACTTAAGAAATGCCTAGGGGAAACTGAGGCATCCACCCAATATTCAGAGAAAACATTAAGAACAGTCCCACTTCTTCACAGGGGGAAACTGAGGCACACAGAGTATTCATACAAACTATTCCCAGAAAATCCCCACCCCGCTGCCCGATTCGTCTCACCCGTCTGTCCCCTGCAGGGCGCTGGCAATAACTGGCTCCGCGTCATCCCGCGCACCCGCTTCGGGGCCTTTGCGCGGGGGGCCAGGGTGCTGCTGTTCACCCGGCGCAGCGGGGCGCACCTGCGCATCATCGACGGTGGCTCGGGCTACCTGTGCGAGATGGAGCCCGTGGCGCACTTTGGCCTAGGTGAGTCGCTGGCAGCCTGACCCCTGGTCTGAGGGAAGCCTGGCCCTTGCCCCGGCCCCCAGGAAGCCCTGGGCATCTGTCTGTGGCTCCTGGTTGGAGCTGAGACATGGGGTCAGGGCAGCATTAGACTCCCACGCTGTGTTCCCCAGCTCTGCCTCTGCCCCATAATTGTGACCCACTGCCCCCTACTAGACCAGCCCTGGGCTCCCCCCAGACCTGCCTGGGCCCCTCACTCCCGACCCACAGCCCCCTGCTGGCCCCACCGTGGAAGGGTCTGTTCCTTTAAAACGCTCTGTCCTGGATAGTCGGTGGCTAACAGATTGGGGGGCTTGGAGGGTCTCATTGTTGGGGTTCAAAGCGTTGGCTGCAGCAAGGTGCCCGCTGCCTGGGCTGGGAGGGGGAGCTGAGCATCCCCTGCTGCCCTCCCCAGCTGCTGCTCTGCAGAGAGGTGAGTGTTTCCATGCCCCATGAGCCCCTGACCCCTCCACGCCTGTTTCCAGCCCAGCCAGGCCTGCGGGGTGAGCAGGGCAGCCAAGCACTCGGGAACCAGACCGAACAGCGTCTTGGTGCTGGGCCCTCACCCTGCTCACCCCACTGCCCCCCAAGCTGCTGCTCTCAGCAGGGAAAGGAGGGTCCCCTGGGCAGACAGCAGCTTTCTCTGCTGAGATCTGCTCCCTCTAGTCCTGCTCCAGGCTGGGCCCAGGCCCGCGGCTGCCCGCTCTGATGGCTTCTCCTCTACAGGCCAGGACGAAGCCAGCAGCCTGGAGGTGACGTGGCCAGATGGCAGGGTCGTGGCCCGGGCTGTGGCCAGCAGCGAGATCAACTCGGTGCTGGAGATCCCCTACCCCGAGGGTGCTGAGGGGCAGGTCCCACCCGCCTCGCTGGAGGTGAGTGCCATGCAGCGCACCTGGCACGGAGTGGGGCAGGGCCGGGCCGGGGGCACCTCCCAGAGGCAGGGCGGGGGACGTGGCACAAGGAGCCGACAGGACGCAGACACCCGCTTGGATGGGACAGGCCAAGGGACATGGAGCCTCTAGGCTCACCCAGGCAGGCAAGGCCCAGCCACCCCTGCCAGCTGCCCTGCCCTGTGCGACGCCGTCCCTGGTGTGTGGGCTCCAGAGCGCTGGGGAGTCAGTGCCCCGTGCCCCCTGCCTGGCTGCAGACAGGGTGGGCCCTGAGCCTGCCCCTCACTGACCAGTGCCCAGCAGGGGGAGCTGGGAGGCCTGGGGCAGCCCCTCCCCACACTAATCCCAGCCCCCCGGGTCTCTGCTTCTCCCCTTGATGCAGTGCGGCCAGGGATTCTCCCAGCACGAGAACGGACGCTGTGTTGGTGAGTCGCTGCTTGTGAGGCGCCCGCGGGAGGGGCTGTGCCAGGCAGGAGCCACAGGATCGCTCTGGCTGGGTGGCAGGCAGGCGGGGGGCCTTGGGCTGTGGCATGGCCGGGGGAGGAGCTGTGTGCCAGGGCATTTCTGGGCTGCTTACTTGGCAGGGGGGCGGCAGCCTGGCGGGGGTGGGAGGTGGGGCGCTGTTGCATGGCTGTAGGGCAAAGATTTGCTGCAGGGCTGCAGCCTGGCCGGCCTGGGGGCTGCCCTCTGGGGGCGCTGGGGCCCCAACCGTGGGGGCTGTCGTGTCTGGGCGGGTGGGCAGCCGTAGCGCCTTCCCCGGAGCCCAGGGCTCACACTGTGCCCTGTCCGCTTCCAGACACGGACGAGTGTGCCGCGTTCCCCTTCGTGTGCCCCAGGGAAAAGCCAGTCTGCGTCAACACGTACGGCGGGTACCGGTGCCGCAGCAACAGACGCTGCAGCCGGGGCTTCGAGCCCAGCGAGGACGGCACGGCCTGCGTGGGTGAGTGCTGCAGCCGGGGGAGAGCCAGGCCAGCCCGGCCCAGGGGCGCTTCAAGTCCCAGGTCGCTCTGGGGAGCCTGGGTACCTGTTTCAAGGTGTTTCGGCCCCCCCCGCAGGCCACGTGAAGCTGCCCATGCTCCTGGAGCTGGTCCAAGCACAGAGCTCCCAGCCCCATGGCAGGGCTGGCCCTGACCCGCCTCTGCCCCAGCTGCCTGCCACTGACCCTCCCTCCCCTCCTCTCTGTCTCTCCTTCTCTGTGCAGCGCAAGTGGCCTTTTTCGGTGGATACCCCTCTGCAGGGAGCCGGCTCTGGGCCTGGCGCCCCCCAACCCCCGTCCTCCCGCTGGGCCTCGGACTCTGCCTTCACTTCTATGCACTTTAACCTTTGCCAATGACCTGTGTGTACGGACTGGACGGTCTCTCTGCCTCTCTCCGTCCCTCCGCCTCTCTGTCCTCCTCTCTCTGCCCCTTTCCCCCACCCTTCCAATGCCCCTCGAAGCGCTGGCCGTGCCGCGGCCATCTTCGAGAAGGGCACGGAGCCGCCTGGGCCACAGCAGCGACCGTGCTGGAGGCAGAGCCATGTGCCAATCACCCCTTGCATGTTTTCTGAGAAAACAGACAGGGAGGCGCCCTGTGACCCCGTCAGCGCCCCCGTCGTGGGAGCTTGCCCTTAACAGAGATGGATGCTCAGTCGAATCGATTCCGTAGCATGTGCCTGCTGGTTTGGCCTGCAAGGTTTGCCTCACCTGGCCCCTATCTGGGCCACTGAGGATGCACCCAGCCCCGCTCGCTGTGGGGGAGGACGCTCCCCGCTGTGTTTTCTAGCGAATTGACCCCACTGTCTGGAGTTTGACCCGGCTCAGTCTTCCAGCCCCTCCCCAGGGAAGCGACCCAATAAACTCTATCCTGTCTATTTGCACCTGCCTGCTGAGTTGCTTGCGGGGGCCACGCCCTGGCCTGGGGGCCCTGTTGGCTCCAAGCTCGGCCGAGGGCGGGGGAGGGCCTGAGGGCGGGCACCAGCGCCCTGGGTGCCTGTGGCCTGGGCCTGCAAGAGGTGCAGGTGGCGCATGAGAGCGCTGTCCCCCCACCCCTTGTGCTAGGAGGTCGTACCCCCTCTCGCGCCCCGGCAGGACCCCTCGCTGCTCCGCCGATGGGATGGGTACGCAGGTCCCAGGGCCCTGATTTCTGGTCCCCAGGCGGGTGCCTGGCTCTTTCTCCACCATAGCCACCAAGCGGGGCCAGCGTCTTGCTGGCTTGGGGCCCAGTCCCCCGGCTCTGCGCATGTGGGGGGAGGCTGGGGCCCGGGCAGGGTCCGAGAGCCGTGGGGAAGGGGATGGATGGGGGCGGAAGCAGGAGGGTGGGCGTCGGACTCAGCTGTACCAGTCCCAGCTGACACGAGCCAGCCGCTGCCGTGCATGGGGCTGAGAGCTCGTCCGTGCTGCCCAGCTTGCCCGCGGCGTCGGCACCCATGTGCGGGTGGGTGCTACGGGCTGCCTCCAGCCCCATTAGCTCCTGCTGGGGTGGGGCTGATGGAACAGGGCTGGGGGGAGCTGGGGCTGGGGGGGCCCAGGAGGCTGGCAGGGCTGGGGCAACCAGGGAGCGGCAGGGTGGGGGGCAATCAGGGGGCCCTACAGGACATCTGTAACACCCCACCCCAGCTGTTCTGCACTGGGGGGGCGGAGGAGGTGTGACAGTCCTGTGACCCCGTCTCAGCCAATCAACTTTTGGCTCCCGAAATGAATGAGCCGCTCCGGTTTGAAGGGCGATTGGTTGGAAGGGGCGGTCACATGCCTGTCTCGGCCAATGGCACAGTTCGGCAGCCTGTGGGTCCCCGGGGTGCCAAGCGTGAGGCTCAGGGGGCGGGGCTTGCTGGAGCTCCGCCCAGTGACCCCCACTCTCTCCCTGTGCTCCCCCAGACACTGACGAATGTGCCCGGGGGCTGCATGACTGCAGCCAGCTCTGCACCGACACCCGGGGGGCCTTCGCCTGCCGCTGCCACCCAGGCTTCCGGCCTGACGCCCGCGCCGCCAGCCAGTGCCGGGGCGAGTAGCTGGCCGCAGGGTCGGCTGGAGCCGGGCCCCAGGCCGGGGGGCAGGCGGGGCTGGGCCAGGAGCGGGATAGCAGCAGGCAGCTGGGCCCGGGGAAGGGGCTGCCCCCCCATTGTCCCAGGCTGGAGGGCAGAGCGGCCTGGAGGCTGCGGCAGCGCAGGGGTTAATTCGGACAAGGTGCCCAGGGAGCCCGTGCGTGGCCGGGACTGGCACAGGCAGGGCATCTGGGGCCCCCCCCGGCGCAGCTGTCCCTGCCCACCCCCTGCCCGAGCGTCACACAGAGCTTGGCACCGCCTCCCTGATCCCGCCCAGCAGCCCCCGGGCCTGGCCCGCAGGCAAGGGAGCCCGGTGCCCGTGGCCCCGCTGGGCTCAGTGGGGTGACGCCCTCCCCTTCCCTTTCAGACGTGGACGAGTGCTGGGAGCAGCCGGGCCTGTGAGACCACGTCTGCCACAACGAGCAGGACTCCTGCCACTGCCGCCGTGGCGTCTCCCTGGGCCCCGACCAGCACCGCTGCCTGCCCCTCTAGCCCAGGGCTGCCCCACACCCAGGGCAAGCCCTAGCCCAGGGCCGCCCCCAGCCCCTGCAGCCCCCAGGCCCACGGCCACCCCCTGCAGCCCCCAGGCTGCCCCCGGCCCACTGCAACCCCCGGCCCATGGCAGCCCCCAGCCCCTGCAGCCGCGGGAGGGAACAAGTTCCCAGCTGCAGGGGCCATGCAACCCTGGCTCCTTCCCCCTCGGGCCTGGCCTCCCCTCCAGCCACCCGCCGGGCTCCGGGCTCTCGCCCAGCCTGGGCTGCTCACGCCTGGCGCTGCATGAATAAAGCGTTTCCCAGCTAAAACAGTCCTCGGCCCGTCTCTGCAGCCCCCAGCCTGGCTCGTCACACCAACCCCAGGCCTGGGCCGAACGTCCTGCCCGCAGAGGGTCGCTCCCTGCCCCCCACCAGGGTGAAGCCCCCTCTCCCCCACACTGATTTTCCATTGTGATTTCCTGCCCCCTTGTTCTTTGTCACTCTGTGAACTGCCCGCTCAGCCATGCCCTGGCCCCCGCTGTCACACCCCCTCTCGGCCCCTTTCCCCTTCTCCTGAATATGCCCCCCCTTCCCCACGCCCCCTGTCTCTTCTGTCACCGCCTGCTGGATTTGTGTTCCTGAGCACCCCCTCCCCAGGTGGCGCAGTGTGTGCTGGGGGTGCAGGCCACTGGATCCAGTAGCGGAGGGGCTGTACAGCGCCCTGCACAGACTGCCAGCTGCAGTGCTGCCTTTTACACCAGGTGGGGCCAGGCCCCACAGCCAGGAGAGCTAGCTCTAGGGAGGAACAGGATGGAGCGGGGCCCCAGGCAGGGAGGGTTACGTCAGCCAGGGGAGGGGGCTGGTTTCCCTGTAACCTGCTCTGGGCCAGCCCATGTGCCAGCCACATGGCACCCCCAGCTTTGCCCCCAGGGTGCCAGGCCAGGAGAGGCGGGCTCCCCAGCCCTGCGATTGTGGTGTCGGTCCAGACCCGGCCGGCTGCCACCCCCAGTCCCAGCCAGCAGGGCCCCCAGCTGCCAGCTTCCCATGCCCCCTCGACACGGCCCCTGCCCCCTTTATTGTGTGTCCATGGGGGGCAGGGGCCGTTCCCGGTGCTCTGTGCCCCCAGCCTGCTCTCCCAGAGCCCTCTGAGAGCGACATCTGCTCAGACCTGCCCTGGGCCCCAGCCCCAGCCCCTGTCTGCCCCAGGCCCTGCAGCGCCCCCTGCTGTGTAGGGCAGACTCGTATCGCCAGATCCATGGGCCCTTCACTTTGGCCTCTGGTAACATCCCGGCCAGGGAACCTCACCTCTCACCCGTGGCCCCATTCCCTGCAGCGCCCCTGCCCCTGCCCCATAGGGCCGGGCCTCTCCTCTGTAGCCCCCTCCCTGCCCCCACCAGAGCTGGCCCGGTGAGGCGGGCTGGCTACTAGCCTAGTTCAGCTCACCCCCTGCAGGCCACTGGGTATGCACCTAGCTCGGACGGCCCAGGACGCGGGGGGCACCTTCCAGGAAAGCTGCCTTGGGGGACGCCCCGATGGGGCTGATGGGTCACTCCTCCCCCGTCGGTAAGGTCAACACTTTGACCTTTGATGGGGGCACAAAGCCCCCAGGACACGGCCCCAGTGCTGGGGCCATGCACTCCACACGAGCCCTGGGCTGGGGTGGTTCATGCCGCGGAGAAGCGACAGGCTCATGCAGGAGATGCACAGGGAAGGGACATGGGGGGCAGGCAGGACAGAGCTGGGCCAGGCAACTCCCAGGGTGCAAACACCCCTCCTGCAGAGGGGAGCAGGCAGAGAGGTGGGGCTGGGACATAGGGGCTGCAGCAGGCGTGGGGCTGGCCACACCCCCGGGCTCACGGGCTTCAATCCCTTCGGCTGAGGAGGAGTTTGGCGAGAGTTGGTGACCCCTTGGGATGTGCCATCACCCCCCAGCCCTTCCCTCTCCCCCGCATGTCCACCAGTGTCCCACATGGGCTCATTCACGCAGGGGAGGGTGACGGTGACCCAGCCATGGCGGATGGTCCCCACCAAGCCCGGTCTCTGGCCCGAACAGCTGGGCATGGGGCGTGGGAGTTGCGAGCTGGGAGGGGATCGCGGGGACAGGGGAAGGACATGGCCAGGGAACCAGGCTCGCTGGTGGGTCAGGGCGATACAGGGCCCAACCTGGAGAGGAAGCTGGTGCCTAGGGCTTTGCCAGCCACAGCAGGGCCGTGCATGTGCCACGTGGCGGGGCTACGCTCACGGCAGTAGGAGCAGTGGCCGGCGGGAGGCTGCTCCGCGCGAGCTGGAGACCCCCGATCACGCTCACCCCGCTGCCCCTCTGCAGCTCCCTCAGCTCCTGGCTTTATGGGAGGGTGAGGCCCCAGGCGGCACTGCCCAGGGCATGGGCGGGGGCAAGTCCTGGCACAGGGCCATTGGCTCTGGGTTGGGCCGGCGGCCGAGGGGCCCCAGGGGGCTCGCCCGAGGCGCCCTCGCCCCGCTCCGGCAGCAGGTCTCCGCGGGGGTCCCCCCAGCGGCCGCCCGCCCCGCCCTGCTCAGAACCGGGTGCTCTGGTACCGCAGCCGGCCCAGCTCGGCGAGGCCTTGGTCCCGGCAGTGCAGGTCCCCGCAGGGGCTCGCTGCCAGTCACCGCCCCCCCCCGCCCCCGCTGCTGCTGCTGCTGGTGCTGCGGCTGCTGCATCTGTCCTCGTAGATGGAGATCTCGATCTGGGCCCCGGCTAAGGACCGACAGCCGGGCAAGGGCTGCTGGGCAGGGGGAGGGCAGGCAGGGCGGTGCCCGTCTCTGCTCCCACTTCTGAGGTCAGCCAGGGCCCTCCAGCCCCTCGCCACCCCGACTGGGGCCTGGTCGTGGGCTCGGGGCAGGGCTGGCGTTGCAGAGAGGGGCCTGTCTGCGGCAGCCGTACGCACCACTGTAAGAGCATCACGCTGTGCCCGCGCCCGTCCCGCCAGGCTCAGCCATGCCCATCTTCCCTGCCCCATGCCCACCCGCCCAGCCAGCCCAGGAGGATACGACCCGCATGCCCCGCTCCACGGGGTCGGTGAGCAGCAGGCCCCGTGGCGCGTAGACCTGCTCGTTCTGCTCCTGGATGTACTTGGCGATCTTCTTCAGCACCTGCGAGGGCAAAGGGGACAGCCCATCAGGGCCCACCGCCCCGGGCACCCAGTCAGCACCCGCAGGCCCGGGCGCACCCAGTGACTCCCTGGCCCGGGGCACCAGCCTGCGGCCCTCCCTGGCAGGGGATCGGGCCCTTTGGCTGTGCTGGCTCTCACTGAAGCTAACCAGCACGCCCGCCCCACTGCGCCTGCCCCACAGCAACAGCCTCTGGGGGCGGGTCACTGCCCCTTTGGGAAAGGAGGAGATCCTGGGGAACAGGGAGCGGGGAGCACAGGCCCACGGTCACAGTCAGGGGCAGAGCTGGGCTAGAACCCAGGCGTCCTGGCTCCCAGCCCCGCCCCACTCTAACCACTAGAACCCACCCCGCTCCCAGAGCTGGGCTAGAACCCAGGAGTCCTGGCTCCCAGCCGCCTGCTCAGAGGAGGGGCAATGTCTGAGGGGAAGGCGGGGGCAGAGTCAAACCATTGGCTGGTGACGGCCCAGGAATAAGAGCTGGCTTCTTAGAGTGCTGGGACTGGGAGAAGCCAGTCTGGGGTTCTGGAGCCAGGGCCAGGCAGCAGGTGAGTCCCAGGGCGCACACGGGCCTGAGAGTTGGGGTGCTTGGCAGCAACACCCCTGAGCTGGGCCTTTCCCTGCCCAAGGGGATCCCCAGTGCAGAGCTTTGCTGGGCTGAGTTCCCCCTCCCCGGCACCTGCCCAGACCAGTCACCCCGAGTCCCGCTGCTCTGGGGCTCGCAGGGCTGCCGCCTGGGGGCGCAGGGCCAAGCTTGGGGGCAGGGGCTATTGCAATCTGCGCCCCTTGTGGGGAGTGTGACGATGTGACTCAGCAGGGAGGGGGGAGTGTTGACCTGGGAATGTGCCCTGGGGATGGGAGACCTGAGAGCCTGTCACCTGAGCCAGGAGGGGGAGGGGGAGGTGACACCTCTGCCCAGGAATGTGAACAGAGGCTGCAGCAGGGAACCTGCGGGGTGAGTTTAGTTGGCAGTTTGGAGGCTGGGGGGAGGAACACAGGGAACCCCAGGGCTGGGGTCTAAGCTCCCTGCTCCCCCAGAAGGATGTGATTGAGGGGTCCTGGTTGTACCCACAAGCTCTGTTGTGGACTGTGTTCCTGTTGTCCAATAAACCTTCTGTTTTACTGGCTGGCTGAGAGTCTCAGTGGATCCCAGGAAGAGGGGTGCAGGGCCTGGACTCCCCCACACTCCGTGACAACTGGTGGCAGCGGTGGGATCTACTGCACCCCGTGAACGGCGCTTCCTGCAGTAAGTGACTGGGGAACAGTAAAACGAAGGGGAATTGACGGGGACCAGGCATGCTGAAGATTCAGAGACGGTTTCGGGGGCGGTTAACCCCTGGGAATGTGTGACCAGAGAGAAAGACTTTTGCAGTAACAGGGTCCCCGGGGATTGCAGCGAGCAGTCCCAGGGGCGGAGGAGTCTGCAGCTCGACCCTGGCAAAGAGGTGGTGACCTCAAGAAGGACTGGCACACTAAGGGCTTTTCCTGGAAACCGTGGGAAGCTGCCCGGCCTGCGAGTGGCCAGCAGGGAGATGTACGCTAAACGCCTTAAGAGTGACCTGGTGGAGCTGTGCAGGCAGAGGGGGCTGCGCATCGGGAGGTCCACCAAGGAACAACTGATTGCCCAGTTGGAGGAGAGGGATCGCTTGGATGACCCGATCCCTATCCCTGAGGGGAGCCGCCCGGCAGACGCAGCGTGGGCCCTGGGGCCTGACCGGGCTGGGAGGGGTCAGACTGCTGCCGAGGACATCCCGAGACCCTTCCTACCTATGTCTGGGGGAGGGGTTGGGGGAAGCCCAGCGAATACCGAGGGCACCCTGACCCCAGCACCCAGCAGGGGATCCTCCCGGCGGAGCTCCCCATCCCTGGAGCGGAGGCGGCTGGAATGGGAGAGGGAGATGAAAATGAGGGAGCTGGAGGATCATGAAAAACAACGTCAACATGAGGAGAAACAACGTCAACATGAGCAGGAGGAGAAGGAGAAACAACGTCAACATGAGCAGGAGGAGAAGGAGAAACAACGTCAACATGAGCAGGAGGAGAAGGAGAGGGAGCGTCAGGAGAAGGAGAGGGAGCGTCAGGAGAAGGAGAAACAAAGACAGCATGAACTGGAGCTGGCCAGGCTGAGGAGCAGTGGGGCCCCGGCTGTGGTGAGTGAGGGGGGACCCAAGACTGCAAGGAACTTTGATAAGTGCTTCCTGGCCCAGCGTAAGGAGGGGGAGGACATAGATAGCTTCCTGACGGCCTTTGAGAATGCCTGTGAGCTGCACAGGGTTGACCCTGCAGACAGGCTCCAGTTTCTCACCCCCTTACTGGACCCCAAAGCCGTGGAGGTGTACAGCCGGATGACAGGGCCGGAGGCAGGGGACTATGAACTGTTCAAACAGGCCCTGCTCCGTGAGTTTGGGCTGACCCCCGAGATGTACCGGAGAAGGTTCCGGAGTCAGCGTAAAACGCCTGAGGTCACCTACCTACAACTGGCCAACCGGATGCAGGGGTATGCCCGCAAGTGGACAGCGGGGGCCCGAGCTAAAGAGGACCTGCTTGACCTAATTGTACTGGAGCAACTGTATGAACAGTGCCCTTCCGACCTGAGGCTGTGGTTGGTGGACAAAAAGCTCGAGAACCCCCAGCACGCAGGGCAGCTGGCCGACGAGTTTGTGAACAGTCGGTCAGGGGGTAGCCGGGAGGAGTCCCAAAAGAACAGGCCCCCCCGATGCAGAGAGAGAGTCACCAGGGGCCTCCCAGCGGGGAAATAGGGAGAACCCCCTCCCAAGGGGAACGCCTGGCGTCGGGCCCCTCCGACCCGCTCGAGGGGACCAACGTGACCTGAGCTGCTATCACTGTGGCCAGAGAGGCCACGTACGGTCCCAGTGCCCTGGGCTCAGGGACAAACTGAGCAGACCCAACCTACCCAGGGTTAACTGGGTAGGGACCCAGCTGGACGAGGGGCAGACGACTCAGGCAAGGGGGCTGCCAGTTTACCACCTGCCCCGGAGGGAAGAGTACCCCAGGCCAGCTCCACCAGAGGGCTGGAGGCTCTGGACTCAGGGCGCTCAGTTTACAGGGTGGGCGCGGGGCTGTCCCTCCGGAGAGAGTGCCTTGTTCCCCTGGAGGTGGATGGGAGGAAGGTCAATGGATACTGGGATACGGGTGCGGAGGTGACGCTGGCCCGGCCCGAGGTGGTGGCCCCAGATCGGGTGGTGCCCAACACCTACCTGACCCTGACAGGGGTGGGTGGGACCCCATTTAAGGTGCCCGTGGCAAGGGTACACCTGAAATGGGGGGCCAAGGAGGGCCACAAGGATGTGGGGGTACACCACCATTTGCCCACTGAAGTTTTGATGGGGGGAGACCTAGAGGACTGGCCAAGCAAGCCCCAGACCGCCCTGGTTGTGACCCGTAGCCAGAGCCGGCGAGGGCCACTGCTCCCTGACCTCGGGGAGGGTACCGCACCGGAGGCGCAGGACCCTACCCTGGTGGGAAGGGAGGGCCAAGGGGCACGGCTCAGAGAGGCTGAGGCCTCAGACCTGGCCACTGAGGGGGAACCGGTCCCCATCCCTTCCCCAGCTGCTGAGTTCCAGGCCGAGTTGAGGAAAGATCCCTCCTTGCGGAAGCTCAGGGACCTGGCCGACCTCAGGGTGGTACGGACCATGAGGAGAGGCTGCCAGGAGAGGTTCCTGTGGGAGAAGGGGTTCCTGTACCGAGAATGGGCTCCCACAAGGGAAGTAGAGTCCTGTGGGATCAGGAGGCAGCTGCTGGTCCCCCAGAAGTATCGCCGCAAGCTCCTGTACCTGGCCCATGACATCCCCCTCGCAGGGCACCAGGGAATCCGGCGCACCCGGCAGAGGTTGCTACAGAACTTTTACTGGCCCGGGGTCTTTACCACGGTCCGGCAGTATTGCCGATCCTGTGACCCCTGTCAGAGGGTGGGGAAGGCCCGGGACAAGGGGAAAGCGGCTTTGAGACCTTTGCCCATCGTAGAGGAGCCTTTCCAGAAGGTGGCCATGGACATCGTGGGGCCTCTCAGCAGGACGACCCGGTCGGGGAAGAAATACATTCTGGTGGTGGTAGATTTTGCCACCCGCTACCCCGAGGCAGTGCCCTTAGCTTCCATTGAAGCAGACACCGTGGCCGATGCGCTCCTGACCATTTTCAGCCGAGTGGGGTTCCCCAAGGAAGTCTTGACAGACCAAGGCTCCAACTTCATGTCGGCCCTGCTCCGGTGCTTGTGGGAGAAATGTGGGGTCCGGCACGACTGGGCCTCAGCTTATCACCCCCAGTCCAACGGGCTGGTGGAGAGGTTTAACGGGACGCTAAAGATGATGCTGAAAACCTTTATGAACCAGCACCCACAGGATTGGGACAAGTACTTACCTCACCTGCTGTTCGCGTACAGGGAGGTGCCACAGGAGTCTACCGGATTTTCGCCTTTCGAACTGTTATATGGAAGGAGGGTGAGGGGCCCCTGGACCTGATGAGAGACGAGTGGGAGGGGAAGGCCACTCCCGATGGAGAGTCAGTGGTGGAGTATGTCCTGATCTTCCGAGAGAGACTTGCTGAACTCATGGGCCTGGCCAGGGAGAATCTGGCCAGAGCCCAGAAGAAGCAGAAGGTCTGGTATGACCGCACGGCAAGGGCCCGTGCCTACGCCACCGGGATCCGGTGATGGTTCTCATCCCAGTGAGAAAGAACAAACTACAGGCCGCCTGGGAGGGCCCTTTCAAGGTCGTCAAGCAGCTCAATGAGGTAAACTATGTGGTGGAGCTGTCGAACCGGGCGCACCACCGCCGGGTGTACCATGTGAATATGATGAAGCCATATTATGCCAGGGGGAATGTGGTGTTTGCCGTGTGTGGACAGTGGGAAGAGCAGGGAGATGACCCTTTAGTAGATCTATTCCCTGGGACCAGAGCTGGTTCCCCCCTGGAAACAATTCCCCTCTCGGATCAGCTAACCCCTGCCCAGCAAGCTGAGGTCAGGGA